AAGTGGGAGATGAACTGATAAGAATATGAAAGTATTATTGAATTGATAGTCATAGAATGGATTATGTATTGAATTAAGACGGAAGTAATAAACCTTGGTGTTTTGTAGTTTGATAATTGATTTTAGATAGCTAGAGTACAGTCAATTGTGACACTAACAAACCCAATTCATATAACGAATCTTTCCTTGTATTCGAATCCACCTCTATTAGATCAATTGCTTTGGTATATTGAAGCTTGAACACAATGAGAACAACAGTAGATCAACACTAGATTGCTATAGGTATTTTTTTTTTACTTTTTTTTTTGCCTTCAAGGCAAGTCTTGCAAGAAGTTGAAGATAGCCACATGGAGAGGATGCAATATATTGCATTATTTGAAATTATTTTATTTTGAAATAAATTTTATATTTTTGAATGTAGAATTCTTTTAAAAAATAATTTAGGTTGAAGACATTATTGGCTATGTAACTAATGAAAATAAAGTTTTTAATAATATCAAGAAAAAAAATATCCTTGAAAATTTTATTTTATTAAAAAAAAATTGTATTAATATGTTTCTTATTTTGTAATTAGATAGCCTTGTCTTTCAATGATTTTGATTCTATGACCATGAGTTTATTTGAAAATAATAAAAATAGCTTTTTTATTATTAATATGGTTTGAAGCTCTTAAATTGAAGTACCATGAAGCATCCCGATTGCTAGATTCTATTGAATTTATTTCAAGCTAATTGAAGCATGCATATACCACTTGATAGGCATTATCTTTTTTTATATGGTGGTTTCTTATTATCCGACTCCAAATAGAAATTTTTTGGCTCTATTTCTACTTGATGGACTTGACCTTTTTTTGTTGTTTTGTTCCAAACCTACCATTATGGAAGGACCATCACTATTAGCCTTAACTTGTGAAATAACATCTTATCTTAGCCACTATACAATTATTGATGTACTAGCACATAGACGAAAGTACTTACTAGATCTACTTCTTTATAACTCACTACTTAAACTGCCCTTGTTTACATTACCTACTACACCTCCAATTTAGCCCCTCACACCTCTAGTTTATTATTTGCAATGCATTCAATGATCTCCAACTAAACTTATTGATTACATTTCCTTCTCAAAAAAAAAAATTTATTCTATTAAAATAATAAAAACTTTATATTTTATAAAGCTGCTTACAATTCATATTAGTTGATTGTAATAGAACGAGAATATTTGTCAATTTAACATAATCATACTTAGATGTCAATTAACTTGCTCTCAAAAAAACTTTTATTATTTCTGGAAAAACTTCAAATCAACAATAAATATGTCTAATATAAGGTCTAATTGGTTGCTTATGAATTCTAACAAAAATATAATATAGATTATCAAGAGGTGTTTACACTTGTCAATTGATGAGAATCAATCTATAATATTATAATACCTTGATAAGAACATAAGATGTGCCACCTTTATTATATTCTCTACAAGCTCAAGCAAAGTTTAAGAACTTGTTATGCTTGTATAGATCAATAATTTTGCAACCAATACATGCACAAGTCTACCATAGATCATAATATTTATTACTAATATGATAATTATAGTATTGTCATCTTGCTCATAAATATCAATGATCTAAAAATCATTTGGTATCCACCTCATCTCATAACCAAAGTCAAATACCAACTTAATAGGACATTTTCTATGACCGATTTAAGGCCCATCCGCAAATGTTTTTGGTGTTCAATACACACACACCTTATTAGAGTTCTTCTTTTATTAAATTGATTATACACATCAATTTTTTTGGAATTTTAATATAAAGGCATTACATCCCTTACATATTTTCGTCAACAAAAGTCTAAAATTTTATAAGAAAATCAATACACCACCTTGTAATGTATGACTCTATTGTGCCATGGTTAGCAAGTTCCATTGGCTCATTAAGACCTACTTGAATGTTACTTTGGAGTTGAAATTTGCAATTGGTATACCAAAAATTTGCTAGAAGTTTACTTACAAGCTGCTTGTGGAATCCTTTGAAACATTTAGTAGTATCTTTGGCTCGACATCTTCTTCAAAGCTCGAAAAAAAAAAAAACCACCTCTTAAGGTATTCAAATGTAGATTTTGCATTAGATCCCAAAGATTGCATTTTAAACTTAGCTTATATATTTTTTTAAAAAACATACATGTATCATAGTGTTATTCAGAGCAGACATCAATAATACAATCTTTGTATGAATTAAAATATGACACTTTAGCAAATTATACTTGTAAAGACATATGTCTCAAGAATTTCATATTGGAAATATCAAATCTATCAACATTGGATGCAATAATTAAAGCAAAATCAAGATTATATATAATCTAGTATTTGATGGTAAAACCAAATATTTTGAAATAAATTGGTATTATTAGATAAAATTATTAGACAAAAAATAGATTCTAGATAAATGAGGATTTTTTATATTAACATTGAATATTAACCTACCAACATATTAACAAATCCACTAGGCAAAATAAAATTTTAAATTGGCATAGATAGATTCATCTTTCAAAGCCTAGCTAGTATCACTGTGATCAATTAGCCTAAAAACTACCATTGTCATATTACATGTATACTTGCTTAAGAATGCATCATACATTTAGATACGGAAGATAAATAATAATCCTATGAAGTCTAATAGAATCTTAAATGAACTTTAAGTAATCTTTAATAATCTTAATTAAAATTTCACTGATCTAAAATAATTTTAAAAGAAATTATAAAAGAAATACAAAGTAGTCATAAATTAATTTTAAAAAATAATAATAATAAAATCTTAAAGTAATATAAAAATAAAACCTTTAAAAAATACTATAATTATAAATCTTTAAAGAAATAATAAAAAATTCTAAATAAATCCTAATAAAATCTTAATTTAAGACTAATTGAAATTCTAATAAATCTTAATCAAATCCTAGATTAAATCTTAGATCAAATCCTAATTAAATCTTAATTAAAATCTTAATGAATCTTAATCAAACTTTAGGTCAAATCCTAATAAAATCCTAATAGAATCCTAAACTCTAACCAAATCCTAAATAATCCTAAAAAAATTCCAAGTAAATTTTAATCAATTACTATAGATATTTGAAACCTCAATAAATATTAATTGAATTGTAGATGTTCACTAAAATTTCACCCAGACTTCAACTTATAAGAAATTAATAAGCATACAAAATTTGAGAAGAATTGGACTTACCAAATGCAAGAAAAGCTTCCAAAACCTCTTGGCTATTGGCCACCCTCCTTCTTTGATTTGAATGCTGATCTTTAAACAAAGATTTTTTATTTTTGAACTATTCAATTGCTCCAAAAATTGGATTGTGTGTAAATATTCAAGTCTAAATTTCTTTCACTAATTTTTGCTTTAATCGAATTAGTAAATATTGCCCAATTGCAAAATCCTTCATTAATGCTAAATCTTAATTATGCAAGAGCATAACCCATAAAAATACTTACATTCTTCAATTTAATTATTCAATTGACTTCAAATTTCTTACACACATTTACAACAATTATTACAATAAATTTCCAAATTTTCATGTATAAATATGCTATAAAACTCATAAAATCTTTAAATTTATAAACTTATTTTTATTTCTTAAAATCTAAACCTCCCTAATATAGTACTAACTTTGAAAATCCCTCAAAACCTCAATATTAATCCAAATGACAAAGAAGCAACTCTTAAAAATCTATTCACTAGTCTTCTCTCTAGTCTTGCTCTTTCATTGAAAAAAGAACTTTGGAAACATTGTAGGTGTTTGGTTTTATCCTTCAGGGTTTGATTTTGATCCTAGTTGGTAATTGATATTTTTTAAGTATCAATTTTTGTTTTCTTGAGGTAATTTTTGCTAAAATAAACTTCTAACTTTCTCCTACATATGCTTATATTCTTTATTTTTCTAATCTACCTTGTTTTGTATTATTTATGGTTATTCAAAATAAATAGAATTCATTTTCATAAAATACAGTTTTAACACTATAAGATTTTATTACTTACATATCTTTTATCTATATTTTTCTTTTATACCTTTTTAATTAGGCTCTTTTATAATAAAATATTCTCTTTCCTCTTTCACCTAATGCCCCTATTACTATATAATAGCATAGAAATTCTTTGGCCTCCTCTTTAGTTGAAAAAGCCTTAAACTTTGATCCATTGAAAGCTCTCAACACATCTTCACATTCATTCCACATAAAATAGATATTAGAATAGAATCCTCTTCTAATGACATAAAATTTAGTAGCCAATTGAACATTAAAATCCCGTCTCCTCCTAGATCTCAAACTAGATACCACAATTTGAAATTATGAATATTGACAATGACTATTAGAGACAAGGTCAATACTAGATTCTAGAACTCATGGATGTACTATAGAAGCAACATCCATGAACTAATTGCTCCATAGTTCAATACTATCCAAGTGAAGTATACATTGCTCCAAGGTTTGTACCAACAAAGTGAAGACGTTAAAAAAGAAGATCAACAAAGCCCAAAGCAACACCAAGGGAGCTTAATCCTATAAGATGCACAAGTAATAAAATTTAGCAACAATCAGATTACATAAACTCTTACAAAAGAAATATGGATGTGGTTGTCACCCACTTGAGTGTTACCATAGAAATACCAAAGATCATCCATCATGTCAAGTTGCCAAAATAAAAATAAAAATAAGCATTGAGCAAGACGGAATGCAAGAGGGAATGTTGGAAGAACTTAGTCAATCTTTTCTCAACCAATGTGCATCAAGTTAGGTTTTAGTTCATCTATGATACCATGTCCAATCCTTCACTTAACAAGTATTTAGCATCTTGCCCCTTGTCTCTTCAGTATGTGTTTCTATTTTGAAAGTACTTCACAAGTATTTAGCATCTAGCCTCTTGTCTCTTCGGTAGGTGTTTTATTTTGAAAGTACTCCACAGTGTTACTGTGATTAGTCTATAAAATTAATCACTATCATCACATGGAACAAACCCATCATTAAGGTATGTTTAAAAAAAAATCAAAGAATACGTACACAGAAATTTCTTAATGTATGTTGCAATTAATCAATAGCAAGCTTTCACATATTATTTAAGCACTGCAACTCCCCACCGGCAGCGGCGGCCTCGATGACAAGAATGCGGTGGTGGATTTTGGTGGATTTCGATTTCGTCCCGTGGTTTGTGGGTCGAGATTTCGCTGCAGCAGGGCCATCGAATTGTCCGACTATGCGATAGTCGTGGTCTGTTTGCTTCGCTTCTTTGTCAGTGTTATAATGTGTATGTAGTCTCCCCGTCCTCCTCCGCGAATTCAACTTGGCATGACATGGTGCACCTATTTCCGGCACAAGGACGGCGTTCCTGCGACCCTAATCGATGGAGTCGCAAGAGGCTTAATCGAGGATTAGTCCCCCAGGCATCAAATGATGGGACTGGGTTAAATAGTGTTGCCGGTTGCGATCCGGAGAGAGCAAGGAGTTGGGTTTCTCAGGTAGAGGAATGGACAGGAAAACGTGCCGAACGTGGGGCGGGGAGGGCAGGGAAGGGAAGCGTGCGTGCGTGTTGGGCGAAGCAGGTCTGCGCCATTCCTCATGGCTGGGCGGGAGATCGGGGCCAGCTGGATCTCCTCTTTTGCAGACTACGCCGTTCCGCAAGACTTTTCCCCATCGCCACCCTCCCCCCCCCCTCCCCACATAATCCCCTCTGCAGCTCTTCCCCCGCTTCCTCTCGCCCATGCTTCACTCCCTCTGCTTCGCTCATGTCCAACGTTTGCAACACCTTAACACCCAATCCTCGAGAGCACGACCCCATACGCGGCACCCATATCTACGGGATGAACAGGTCAACTCCCATTGAGCTACACTTCTCTAGTGCCAACAGAAAGCATTTTTTGCTTCCTTTTCTGATTAGCCTCAGCTGAATATTCCTTCTTCATAATGGTCACTGGCTTTAGTAGAGGCAAGGAAGCCAATGTGTACACATCTTCGTATCGGAGTATCCATTCCACTGCAGAGTGGGAGAAATCAAGCAGTTCAAGCTTACGGGATTTGCTCAAGTCTGGCAGATCCATTAATTTGCTGCAGTATGAAATATCAAGTTGTAGCAATGCAGGTAAAGGCCCCATTTCCTCCAGACTCTTCAGTTCAGTGCACCCTTGCAGATTGAGAATCTTCAGACTGGAAAAGTTCGATCGAACTCGGGGTTTCACCAGATGTAACGGAACACCAACATTGCGTAGATAGAGTTCCTTTAAGTCCGGGACATCGCTAACACCCACATTAGATAGATGTAATTCCTTCAGGGCAGTCAGGTCACTTAACCCGAGACAAATGGTTAAGTTTACACAATTGTAAACCTCTAGAGATGCCAAATTGCGACATCCTCCAACATGGAGAAGTTGCAATCTGGGTAGCTGCTCAAGCCTTTCCAAGCTCCTCAGATTGCGGCAACCCTTGAGGATGATCTGTTCTAACTTGGGAAGGCTTCCAAGACCTGACAACCTTGTGAGATTGTCACCCAATACCTCCATCTTCTTCAGGTTGGTAAACCTATGGAAGTCAGGAAGTTCCGTGGAATCAACATGAAGAAGTTGAAGCTCCTGCAAGCCAATCAACTCACCGAGACCTTCTAGGCACCTCAAAGGTCCCAAGTGGTATGCAACAACCCTTAGAGATTGTAAATTAGACAAACGTGAGCTCAAACCCCTGACAGTGGGTGCTTTGCAAAAAGGGCCGGAGAAGTATATCTTTTGTATCAAACTTAGCTTGCTTAAATCTGGATATTCTGATCGACATTCCTCTACTGTGAGCTCGAGCAGATTGGTACAGTGGTCAAGGTTTGGTAGATTCCGAAGATCTTGCAAGTGTAGGTACTTGAGTGAGACAGGTAGTTGATTCAGAGTTTCAATGTCTATTTCAACAGAAACCAGTCTCAAATAAGTCAAGTCTTTCAGCTCTTGCAGCCCAGGAAGTTGGGTGAGGCCTTCACAGCCATTAACATCCAAAGATTTTAGAAGCTTCAGCCATTTCAAGTCCAAGACTTCATCGCCGAGGTCGCACTCGAAAAGCTTCAAAACAACAACATTCGAGAAATACTTCCATTGAATTCCAGCAAAACTTCTCAAATCATAGCCCAGCTTTAAAGCAATCCTCGCCAACTCTTGACAGCAGTTTCCGGCTCTTTCTTTCCGAAGCTCAGTGATATTGTCTGTCACGTACAAACATTCTTGAGTATCAAGGTTCATTGCTTTCGCTTTCCATTTCGCAAACTCTCGGAATAAATCGTGCATGCGAATACTGCAAGAGCCATCACCCAAGTCCTCCAACATCCCTCTTGTGTTCAAAAGCTTCAACTGGTGCCAAAAACAAACAGCACAAGTCAACACATATAAACAGCACTTGCCACAGATTCATCTACTACCTGGTGACAGGAGTGTAAATAACTTATTGAAGCCATGACTTGCAACAGCGAAAGAACACAGTCAACACAGTTCTAACCATTATCAATCACAACAAATAGAAATTATAATCATTGCACAAAGTATCTACAAAAAGCCTTACCCGTGTGATAACCTGAGTCTCACTCAAGTTATGGAGCATGCTTAGCCACGTGAAGATGCTCCCAGGTATCCCAAGCGTGAGATATCTTTCAGGTGTAAAGAGAGCTACATCCATAAATAGAAGCTGTTCGGCTCTACGCAAGCTGTAATAGCTTCTTTCAAAAATGCTGAAGACAGGGTGTGGCATTTCCCCGGATAGATTGAATTTAATGTCGGGTTCTTCTGCTAAGATCTCCTGCCATTTTGACGGGTCGACGCTTCGCAGTTGCCCACCCAAAACCAGTAGCGATAGTGGATGATAGTGATGATCAGCGTCATCACCCTTGCTATAAAGACACTCTTCAACACATTTTTGGACAATGTTGTCATGGTCCTTAATCCAAACAGAATCGTCACCAAGTCCCACACGCTTGAGAAACAGCCTCGTTGCCTCGTTTTTCTCAAGATCTGGCATCTCCATACAGTCTCTTTCATCAATCTGAAGGTGTGATGTAAGTATGCTGCGAGTACGTGCTGTCACGAGAACCACACTGTTCTCATGAAACCCAAAATCAAGGTATACACTTGCTTGCGTAGCTGTTTCAGGTGACACGTTATCTATAGCCAAAAATGTTTCCTTCCTCCTCACTTCCTTCTGCAGGTAATTTTGGCACTGCATTGCCCATATCCATATGTCAGATATAACGTGAGGGCAATATAAGTGAGGGCAGTTAACCAACATGAGAATCCAGGCCCTAGAACCATCTTCAAACACTCAAGCTTGCATTTCTGCAGGACTTTGCAGTTACACAATCGGGTACACGTTTACCTTCTAGGAAATCAATAACCCACTTGTCTAGACTACGGCAAAGTACTCAAATGTTTACCACATGTATCTGAAGCATTATATACTTTATAACCACCCTCTCTTTGAGTCAAGTAACATTCAATATCCATTGTTCATTACCAACGAGACAAGGCAACTCCCAAAAACAAACTCCTACTTTGAACTAGTAGAGTAGGAACTACCTGGCCATGGTCTCAGTTCTCAAACCCCCGCCTAGAATCTGTCTCTGTAAGGCATCTTATGAGGAGCTGCAAAAACTCTTCTTGTGTGTGGCTGCCAATTTCCACATGGCACACCTTGCCATGGAATTTCGTCTCTAGCTCATCGAGTAGTTCCTTACAGAAGGTTGTTTTGCCGATTCCGCCCGCACCATACAAGCCCACCACGCGGCCCCCATATCTACGGGATGGACAGGTCTTCTCAACTTTTGCAAGTATTCTCCGTTGGTCACGACAGGCTGAACAGTTATCACCATTGCATAACAAATATCCAAACTATCAAATAACATCGCCGGCTAAGGCCAAGGCCTCCAAGTACCGAAGGCATTTCTAAGACACAAGAGAGTAGTAAACAATGACATTTTAGCGTCCTTCCTACCCGACAAATTCGCAACCTCCCTTGAACGTCTCCTGCATTGCCCCACCTTACATCAGGCTGAACCAATTCGCACAAAGCTTCTGCAACTTTGTTTCGATACGATGAGTCTCCTTCTCCCTGCTCGACATATCCAATACCATTGAATTTTGGCAACTCCTCCAACGCATACTTCCATCTGTCAATCTTGATCCTTCCATCCGCTCGTGCCCAGCCTTCCCACAACGAGAACCACTTGTTCCGCCTTGTTGAATCCTTCAATTCAGTTAGAGATATCTTGAAAAAGAGAGGCAATATCTTCAACCCTTTGTTTACACCTAATTTCTGTTCCTCCATGAAAGCAACCAGCTCGAGCATAGGCCACTTTGACGTAAAAAATTCCTCAGACAAGACTGCTACTGCCACCTGACACTGTTTCGCAGCTCGAAAGATGGCATCTGGAAACCTCTCACCCAATGGTAAGCTGTCGATGCGTTGATCAAAGAATGGGAAGCGATTGACGTTCTCCAATTGAACACACAAATCCTCCACGAAGTTCTTCTGCGACCCACTATGACTCAAGAATATCTTGTGCTTGCGTTGAAGCTCCGAGTTCCTGCAAACAGATCGAATGTAAGCGGTATTAGAATAAGCCTCTGAACTTAACGAAATTGTGATTCAATTGCAAATGGACAAAGCTAAACATTGGTTGAGGAGCAAACTAGAACAGTACTCACCCATAGCCTTCATCTGGATTCAACTGATTCCATCCGCTATCGCGATTAGGCCGTTCGGCTCTCACAGTATCCGAAAACACATCTATAAGCTTGCGCCCTAAATCTTTGTTGTAAGCCATTACTTTCACGGCCCCGCTTTCTTGCCCTAGCGAGTTCGAACTACAACATGAGCCACAATCTCTGAAAAAACTTCCCTCAGTAGCATGCCTCCCACAACGTTGGCGGCAAAAGCAGACAAAGTGCAACGAGATAAAGCAGATCTGCGAAGTCTCTGCTACTCTGCATCACGGCTTTCCTCCTCTCTGCTTTTCTGCTTCTTACGCATCTCCACCCCTACCTCTTCCAAGAACCTCCCGGTCCAACTTGGAAGGCATGGCGTCGGGAACGCGGGGGGTGGGAGACGACAAGCGAAAAGAGTCGCCCGAGGTAGGGCTAAAATGTTTCTCTCGGACAGATCGCCGCGGGCTGACGAGCGACCTCTGTTCCCGATGAGTTGCACGTTTGGGAACGCCCCGAGAGGGGTATCTGGTCCGTCGGATCATTCTTCCTGTGATCGGCGGCGAGGGACTGCGGAACGGAACCTGGGAGCTTAGAAGAACCCTCGGGGTCAGGATGATGATTCGGGGTCTCGGAGAGCGACAAAGGTTTTTAGAGTGTGTTGGGAACTAAGTTGTCGATGTTGAATTGTATGCATGCGAGCAAGGAATTAAATTGCTTGTACAGTATCGCCCTCTACCGTCATGGGATTACTGCGCAGAGGGTGGGTGGCGCTTTAGGTGGGACATCTAGACTCTTAGGTTGCAGGGTTTTGAACTATCTCTTATTCTTGGAGAGTAACGAAATAGGATTTTACGGATTCACGAGGTTTTGTCCTTTGTCTCTTGATTTTTCTTATAAGCATCCCTAGGGATAAGCAGGGAACCATCTGCGCTGTATACCAAACAGATGCAGATGCAGGGGAGATTCACAGCCTCCAAATCGATCGGAATGAACCTCCTGAAGCTGACATAAGCCTGGCAGACTAGAGACACAGGGAGACATGCGACCTCGATTGCACAAGTGTTCGCAAGGTAGTGCAGTCAAGTTCGAATATTCCAACTCACTAAAGATCTAGTCCTGACCAAGTATCGGAGGTGCTTGGTGCCTGAGTGGTTTTTCTATTAATAAGGATTCCTTCCACTTCGGCTTCAACTCCCATTGAGCTACATCAATTTCTGTCCTTGCTCGCCGTGTTGGACAGTGCGTTGCGTTTAGCGTGCACGCAGTGAAGTATTCTCTGTAAGTATTGTGGAATGTTTCTGTGCTCACATGTTGGGGGGATATCAGTTGTTTCTCATGACACTTGAACCTCTGTGCCGGGACTCGCATGCGGTACTCACGATGCTTATTTGATGATCCATTCTGAGCGGAGTGTTGTGATCCTGGAGGCTTCATGGGTTGAATTTGACCATACGAGCATGTTGTTTCCCTCTCTTCAGACAGCAGCCGAGGAGACCAGTTAGTATTGGATGAGAGGATTCTTTCAAGCTCCAGGACAATACCGATTGGGTTCCAGTTGTGTCACCTGCTTTTGTCTTAGAAGTGCTCCACATGTAAGCTTACGATGTGCCATGGTGAAGTTGATTGCTTTCATGGAAGCGCTGTTGCCAAACTTTTTCCGAGTCATTTAATGTCAAACTTATTTTTCACTCTACAAGTAGCCGTTAGAGAATTTGTATTATTTCCTTAGATTAGGGTACCCAGGTGTACGACCAGTTTGGTGAGTGCTTTGAATTCCCGTTAGCAATTTGTCTGGAGGACTGTCGCTTGGGATGGCGTTCGAGGAATCTGTACCCGAGACGGGATCTTGGGATTTCAGGGAAATTTGGTTGAGGGATGAGTCCGACGATCCAAAGAGCAGAACCTACTGTGTAGACTATCATGTAGGTTGCATGGAACAACCATCTATAGAACGACTGGTGGAGCGTGTAAATCAGATGCATTCCAGCCTGGATACCGAGTGTGCCGAACTGCAAACTCATGCTGCGAACGCCCTTAAAGCAGAGGTGGAAAGAGATTGGGAATCCTCGTTCCAAGAGTACAGAAAATTTATAGAAGTTCTTGGCAGAGTCGGGTATGATGAGTTTGGGACAAAGTCGTTTCGCCTTTATGCGGATTACGTGTGGGTAGAAGCCTGGGCAGCCATACCGTTGGCTTTGCACAATCAAATCAGGCTCGGAAATTACGACTTGGCTGTAAACGTTTTTGGACATCTACGAGCATCGCGGAACGGTGTGATGAGTGAACGACTCCCAATGAATGCTTATGCAAGCATAGACCAACACATCAGAGTTATTGATTGGGAGACGAGCTACATGCTCAAAGGACGCGGCCAAGAGGGGCTGGCGCAGATTCTCGCGGAGCGTGCTGTTCGGGACTTTCGGCCCCGCTGGTATCTACATGATGAAATTCCTGCGGAGGCAACTCTGTGTCACCTGCTTGGCAACCAACACCGCAAGTTTGGGCAGTACGAAACGGCAATGAAATGGCGATCCGAACTGCGAAAATGGGTGGAGTGCAATGAGTTATCGGTGGATGCTGAAGTGGAAATTACATTAAGCGATGCTTTTCTGCTATGCGACATGGATAATTTCTCGGCCGCTTCCCACGAGCTCCTCAAGTTGAAGCAGAGGATCAGTGATGCGGACATGGACAACGTGCACCTGAGAAGAGTGTTGCATGTGGATAACGCCTGGTGGCAATGCCGGAGGCACCTGGCTCTCCACCAGGGTCTCCAGGATTCCGAGCCGGCCGCGCATTCGGGTAGGTTCAATAAGGCAGATTATGAAACGACTGCATTCTCAGTCTGTAGTGCAACGTATGCGCGAAGTAATGGATTTGAATTCACGAGGTTTATGCAGGAGGTGTCGGAGTGTATGAGCTGCATGGATGATTTCCCAGATTCTGTCCGTATGATTGAAAACATATTTACTGTTACAAGCAAGGCGAGCTCCACTTCGAGTTCACAGGTACATATAACAGATTTTTACTTCGACATCCCAACTGGTCAAACAAGAATTGGTGACACATTACTTCATGAAGCGTTTGCCCATGTGCAAACAATAGTTAGTGGCACTTTCGTTGCTGCAGCTTCAGCCCGTGTGCTGCCAGAGGATTTTGGTATACAGCTAGAAAATTCTGGTATACAGCTAGAAAAATTACGGGATTCTGCAACTATGGGACTCCAAGCGGAGTCATATAATTTTTGGCATGGAGCTTTTTTCTGTTATCGAAATTTTCTAGAAGCACTTGTCTCTCGCTGTGACTTGCCTCCGCCTGGCAGCTATTTGCGGCATGCCTATCAAACACTATTTATATGGGCTGCACTCCCTTACGCACTGACCTACCACACACAGCTCAAGGACTACGAGCATTCTATCTGGTGAGTACTGTTTTCTCGCTTGCGCAGGTCATTCTTTACTTGTTCCTTGTCAAGCATTGCAGTGTTGTCCATGGCAGCACTTGTTTTGTGTCAATCAATTTCCCTGTTATAGCGTCACTATTAAGTAGGTTGTTGGCAGTCTTCCCAAACATGGTTTAGTGGTCAATTGTCGACGAAAGGGAAGAAATGCCTTGAGCTACCAAGACAGGCTGTCGATTTTTAGTACCATTTAGTGATCAAGAATTCTGTTGTACCTCGCAACGCCTTATGCAATCTTTGTGTTTTGACATACCTTCTGATGACTGGTTTAAACTTTGAATTCCGTAGGTTATTGCGAATCATTCAACTGGTTATGGATGGTATTGTCTCTGGCCCTTGGCTCGGGGGTTTTGTTCCTGGCGTTACAAAGGCAGCCTATGTAGCCGTGGAGTTGCAGGTGAGGATGGCTGCGTGGGAATGGAGTTGGGCCCTTATTGAGGAGGGGATGGTGGATAAGTCGGATATGCTTAGGAAGATGGCAACAAGAAACTTCCCAAATCAGTTTCTGGTTCTACCACCTCAATTAGGCATGGATGACGAGGACCGTGCCAAGGTTTCGTTGTGTGAATTATTGCACAATTTATATTGCGATGTAGGGGACTATGAGGAAGCCGGAGCTTGGGAAGCCAAGTTTTCTGACTACGTGCATCGGTTTCTTGGTATGCCGATGTCCGAACCTCATTGGCAAAGAGTTGCTGGTCGCGTGCTCCTTATCGACCCAAAAACACCAGCATATCCTCGAATCACTCATGTCCCAACATGTATCAGATTTGCGAATCCTCCTCCCCGCTCAAGCGGGTCGTCAACACCAGAACGGATGTTCAACGCCAATCCAAACAACAGTCTTATATTTTGACGCCTCTGTACAATGGCTACCAACTTGCATGGATACTGCAGTTGTCTCAAAAGAAAGACTTGTTTATGTGATCATTCTTGGAAAGCGAAGGAAAAAGTCGGACTACGAGTACCATCACGGTGGTATCGAATTTGCATCCGCATGTCCTGCCCATCTGTTCTCACTGGCGCAGCCTGTCAACTTGACGAGTCGTTCCAGTGCTAGTACGTGAAATTTGATACTATTTCACGATGTACTGGATCAACCATAGCAGTCTAATAGCAATTCATTGATCATGTGGTGATTGCACCTTTGACAACGTCGCCCCGCACTTGATCGCCGTCGCCGACAGCCTGAAGTTCGCCTGGCGACCCCTATTCATTACTGCATGTTCAATCGATCAAGAATCGACCAAGAGGAGATGAACTACGATCAACTTCTTTGGAAGCTGTTTGCGTATAACTTCTAGCACTTGAGGTCGTACTTGACATCAAGTCAAGCACAGGATTTACAAGAAGCATTCGTTACACTTCCATCTCTTCTTTCGGAAAGAATCGCCTTGTAGTTAAGTCCCAAACTCTATTCAATGAGTCTTGTCTTTTCTCTGCTCTGTCACTAGTGTAGAATCTAGATGAGATTGTGTGATAGCATGCTTATCGAAGGCGTCGGATGAGAGCTTAGACGGGCCGGAGTGTATCGTGTTGGACAGTAGTCATTTGTATTGTATGCTTAAAGTAATTCAATGTGTATATCATATTGGATGAAAGCACGATGTGGGTACTAAAAAGTCATGACTTCTACAGAATGACTACATGTAATTCAATTTATGTATACTTCACATTTCGCCTTTAATACCATGTATGCAACTTCAGCCATGTTGTATGTATTAAGAGTATCATCTCATTTTTGTAATTTTCTAATATTGGTTCTGTACAAAACAAGGATTTTTTTTAGATCCCACCATTTTAACAGGGGTAACCATATCGTGCTTTCATCCCATTGGTTCACGAATGCTTTTTGATAAACAAGGTCATCATTAAAATCAATATGATTGTTCTATATATCTAGCCAATACATTGCTTTTTATTTGATACATTGATATTTTAGAATAAAGATGTATATCCTACATCCATATTGTACTTTTATGACACAATGGGTGTTTCTTATACATTTTTTAAATATAAAATTCATGTCCTATAAATTATAATTTAAAAATATCAATTCCTATCTAAATATATATTAATCTATTTAACCCCTAAATTTCTTTGAGAATTTCTTACAAAGAAACACCTCAAAACTGCATATTCTAGTGCAAAGAGAGGGGAAGGAAAAGAACAACTTCAATTTCTATTTTTAACCATAATATCTTAAATTGGAGTATTAATTTTCAAGAACATGTAGTCTTTTTTTTCAAATTTTTCACCGTAAGCATTAAAAGATCATAGTGTTTCAAGTGAAAAACATAGTGATTTTTGGACCATATGAAACATGATTAGCACACTTTGTTTCCTCTTAAAAAAAATATCTCTTGCATCTTTTCTTTTGAGGAGATTATTAGCATATAAAAATTTAGACCATATAAGCTATGATTTTTCCAAATTTCAAATGAAACAAAAGTGTGTAACATTCTCAAAATAGACTTGCAAGTAGAAGGGGTTCAAAACTTGCTAATTTGAATTTTGTTTTTTGAAAATTAAGGATCTTAACCCCTAAATTTCCAAGAGTCCCCTCGGGAGACTCTTGAAGGTTTGGGCAGGTTCCTATGGTGTCAATTTATGACAGTTTTTTCTGAATTTTACTCTAGATGGACATTACAACAAGCTTTGTGTGAGTCTAAATGTTTTCCTAAATCCGACGTTTAATGAAAAAGTTATAGGTTTTGAAGTTCAAATGGTGAGAGTGGGCACTTAGGGCACCTACAAAAACTTTTGATATGACACTCTTTCAAATGTGAGATTTTCAAAACAAGCAAATAATATTATTTCCTTTCATATTGTCAAAAAATATCTCTTGTCTATAGTGAAATATAGCATATTAATTCAAGTCAAACATTTTCACACATTGTCATACATTGCCGGGCAAGGTACCAAAAAATCTTCTTCTTTTCCACATAAAACTTAGAGATCTTCATATTGTTTACTTCTTATTTTTTTCACTGCTTTTGTGGTATAAGGCCTCCTATTGACCATTCGGATTTTCGACAAGCAGCAGTGAAACCGAGATTCAGATACACGAAATTCAAATTCTGAGAAGAGGACTTAGTGACTGAAATAAGGAGAATGTAGCGGATGCTGAACGAGCGTCAACAGAAAATAGGTGCGAGATCGTACTTATATCCAAAGCAGGCCAATCGGTACACAGAGTCACGGATTCCGCTACTCTCGTGCCCGTACACATCCGACAGGAGAAGCACGCCGGCGCCGTTGTTGTTCTTGAGCGCCTGAATGTAGTAGCCGGAGAATCCTTCCTCCTCATCGCCGAGCTCCACATCTAAGTCATTCACCAGCTCGCAGACCTCATCGTCGTCCACTGCCGAGCTGCCGTCGTTTGCAGCAGCCACTTGGTTGCGTTGCGTGTTGAGTGTTGCAGATCCAGACGTTTGCTGCCGTTTACGTCGCCCATACCCAGTTTGTGGAATTGAGGTTCACTGCCATGGAGTTCACGGGAGCGCCTCGCTTGTTGATTGCGTCGGATCTGGACCACACCATGGTCGCCCCCTTGCCTTGCGCTCATTTGTGATCTTTTTGGGTGCAGTTAGCCTGGTTATGTGCTTCGTAACTCGCCATTGTAATGTGGTAGCGTTGGACAGGTTCACTCTTGACAGAAGAGTGCACGAATCGTTGGTTGGTTCTCTCATCATAAGATGCGAATTAGTGAGAAATTTGTTGTTCCTTGTAATGAACCGCGTGAAAGGAGAGGAAGGCGAGGGGATTATTGTCGGTGGATTGCATTTTTCCTCTTTCGATGAGGAAGCATTTTATGGCTTTTTAGTGTGGTCCCGATCCCCACCGACGGTCGTGAAACAATTCTTAAACTATTAATTTTAATATTTAACTAAAGCATGGTCGGAATTGCTGGTATCTCTCATGCTTTCTGCCTTGCAGAGTGTCTCACCGGTGACGCCCCGCTAGTTGTCTTAATCTCTGAAAGTACTTACCTACATTGCACTGTCAACATGTTCTGCCGATCTTTGAGTAGACTTCTGTATTGATTGTTGTTGAAAATTTAAAAGACAAAGTATTGGTACATTTATTGTATCCCACTTCGGTCGAATTAGAGATTTTGAATATTTTACTGCCCTCAGGAATAGGTTTTTCCAATGCCACGTCTTAATGGTCGATGCATGATTGCTGACTTGAAACTTAGCTCCTTCTCAAAGCATTTAGAATGCAAGAATGAGACTAAAAACTAATTTTACTACTGCGCGAGTTTCCTGTGAATGTATTGACCAATTTGTTTTTTTACAGGTGGAGCATGGTGATCATGACAACAAGTCTTTGTTGCGGTTTGGTGCACTATGGCAGGCGCATTTCAGCCATGACTCCTTACTTGTGTATTCTACTGGAAGGTCGCCAAAGATGTTCGCCGATTTACGGGGAGAGGTGCCTTTACTGACACCTGCAATTGCTGTTTTGTCTTGCGGCACTGAGATCTTCTACGGAGACTCTATGACAGAAGACGACGCTTGGGTTGACAACATCAATAAGGGCTGGAGTCGTGCAGCAGTTGAGGAGGTTGCTAATGAAATGAATCTCAAGTATCAGGTGTGCATCTCCATTTGGATTTGTGCTGCACTAGCGTGGTGAAGAGCATATTTGTGCCACTCTTGATTGTCTTGTTCTTGCACGTTCAAATTAATGTTTTCGTGGTCTAAGCACCCGTTACTTTATATACCGATGGAGTCGCGTTGGGTGACGATAGTGAGTTTGATAATGTAGTCGGCCCAATGCATGAACTTGTCTCATATTACATGCACCTTGTCACGAATCGGCAGTGTGATTCAGAGCAAAGACCGCACAAAGTAAGCTTCCACGTCAGAAAGGAGGAGGCCAAGTACGTCATACCCAGTCTTCGAGAAAAGCTGTTAGCTAAAGGAGTAAGTACTTTATGCCAACTGATGAATTCAGGTTCCATGACTTCCATTAATGCCCTATTGCTGTGGTTTAAGATTTTGGTGGTTTTGAGCTTCTTTAACAAGCCATTACTCTTGACCATTTAACAGATCAACTGAGGGTATTCCTGAAGGGTTTCAGATTTAAGACCTAGTCAATCTATCTATATTTTGATAACTTGGGTGAATCGCACTCCGCTAGAAGATGAGAATTACTTTGTCGCCTGTTTACGAGGAATCAATTGTGATGTGGATCGCTGTTACCAGGCTGACAACAATCTATGCCTCTGACAGCTGGATATCAAACTTATCTACAGTGGAGGCTTGGATTTAGATGTTCTTCCCCGATCTGCTGGTAAGGGCCAAGCTCTGAGGTACCTATTAAATAAACTCAAGGCTGAAGGCTGTGTCCCTCAACAAACACTAGTTTGTGGGGATTCTGGAAATGATCAAGAGCTCTTCAGTGTGGATAATGTCTTCGGCGTCATTGTGAGTCTTTCATCATCATAAGTTTGTCCTCAAATATACATTGGATTGATTTTGCACATGCTTTTAGATGAAAGAACTTCTCTCGAATCAAAACAGCGTCTACTTTATTTCTTTGCAATAGCGAATTGAAAAAAGAAGGGGGGTGAGGAACGATAATAAAATTTCAAAATAAATAAATAAATAAATAAAAACTTTGCGTTTGAATAGCCTGTGTTGAAGGCTTTTCAAACCCGACGTTTTTCCGAACTCTGCATGTTGTGACACATCTAGCTTTAGGGTGGCTTTTAGAGTGACCTGGGATCGTTTATTAGATTGTAAGCTCTGTTTTCCCCGATCAATAGTAGCCTAGAATCATGACCCACACCCTTTCTCAGGAGATTGGGTCTACGCAGTTGAATAGGTGATTACCGATACATTGAGCATTTTGGATTAAATCCATATATAGTGATTACCATGGCCTCTGTTGCTTTTGCCCTTCATATTTGCTGAAAAAGCAATACACAATGGCTTGGTTTGAAAAATAGCGATTAAAGACAATAACGTCTTCTGATTTGATGTGGTGAGTGAATTATATCTGTCGAATTTTCTTTTGTTAAGTCGAACTTGTCATTGCTGTATAACAGGTGGCAAATGCCCAAGACGAGTTGCTCCAATGGCATGCTAATCAAGTCGGTGACAAGTCGCACATTTTCGTTTCAACGGAGAAATGCGCAGCTGGTATCATCGAGGCTATGAAGCACTTTAATCTTCAGCCAAACGTTTCTCCACGAGATTGTAATGTACCACTTTCAGTACATTGCAGACGGATTCCAAAGGCTGATCCAGGTGCTGTCGCTCGAGAGGTGGTAGAATATTTATTGCTCACGGAACAGTGGTTGCGTGGTGATATAGATGCCTCTGAAGCCGCCTTTAGAAGATTGAAATTCAGTTTGGTGGGTTGCAGTCCTGCGTCTGTTTTTGTTCTGTCTTCTGGCTTCTGGAAGTTCTATTTAATTTAAATAATTCAACAAACACACCACTCACTCAGATGTTTGATATGAGTTCGTCATTTTCTGGTCATTTTGTATCTACATTGTTCTATTTTGAGTTATTTTCGTGAGGAATGCGAGACCGTTGATCTAATTTCCTATTAGTGAGAACTGTCCCACAAGGTGGTGCCGACACATTAGTCCTTCCTTCTCCTCCAGCTAATTGCATGCAATTTCGTGCTAAACCTCAATGTTTATTGATTCCACAGGATAAGAATTCAAATAGAATTTGCGCGCGGGGCATCATAGATAATCCACATGAAGAGATAGAAAGTTTGCGGAATCAGCATGGTTCACAGAAAGGAAAAAATTTTCGTATATGGGCCGATCGAGTCCGCTCTATTAAGCTTAGTGACGATTCATGGTTGGTTAGGTTCGACAAATGGGAGAGATCAGGTATGTTTCTAGATGTCGTTTGTAAGTGGCATTTTCATGTTGTTTTTTGGACTCGCAATGCATGATGTTGAGCGTTATTCAAGAGGTTAGAGGACTAGCTCACATCTTCTTATATTTTGATTTCTGAAAAAGTCGATTTTGACTTACCCACCATTTAGATTGTGTTAATTTACATCTTGTGCAGATGCTGAATGGACGTGTGTGCTCACTAGTGCTCTTTTACAAGCCAATGTAAGGCTACCCACGCTGAAATCCCACCATGTTGAAGAGTTCAATTTACAAAGGAATGAGGTCCTGTGACTTGGAGCTATTTCAAATGCATGTGGACATTGAATTCACGATGGTAGCGTTTCTCTGGTGTGCAGGAAGAATTTCCGAATGGAATTTGCTGGAAATTGATTCATGAGACATGGCTCCAAGGCTACGAAGGATCTGCCCCTCCTAGAATGTGAACTTGTTCTGCGTGAATTATTTTAATACAAGTTGACTTGCACTGGCTTATCTTACTGTATCTGCCCCCCCCCTGCTTGTGCATACCATACATTGAATTATCAATATTTTTGAAAAACTTCGGCAAGCATATCACCAGCGAAGGTTCTATACCAGTTCTCATCTTCTAGCATTATACATCATTTGTATCTATTACTCATATCCTGCATGGTTACATAACTACTTTGTCTTATTGCTGTAAGCAGCCACTCTGGGTAGCTAACTGATTTAGGAAAAAAGATGGAGTTTACAAGAAAGGATTTATACCAGATTTTTCACTGCTAGCTCAGAAAATTATGTATTTGTGGCTATTTAAGCTACATTCTTTGGTAGCCATAGCATCTGAAATGGTACTGGAAAAGTACTTGATTGTTAGTTAAGAAAGTAACATTCACAGTATTATTATCAATTTCTAAAACTTGAATACATGATAAAGACTCTTTTCCTGGATAATCTTGGAAGATTGCTTTCTAAACATTTCATCAGTGCTTTCATTTTCCTGATGTTCCACCCCATTGAGATTGGAATTGTTAATGCATTGTCTTGTTTACGAAAAAAAGGTGGTATATCCTCCTTATTGTAAAAGGTAATGTGATTCTTTGTTACATGCTAAAATTCTGCAGTTCTTTGAAGTTATGGGACATTTGCTGAAATTCTGAAGTCCATATTGTTTCGAAACTATTCGACACGAAATATTTATCGAGCTACACAAATACTTGGAGTTGATTTCACAAAAAATGTATGTGTGTGTATATATATACACAAACCCTAAACTCCTGTAGGTATCTCTGCAAAAGCGACGAAAAACTGGAAGATCTTCAACAAGTAATTGCGACGAAGATCGATGGATGAAGATCTTACCTTGCCCATAAAACCGCCGCTTCTAGCTATCCCATGCTTGGGTGACCGTAGGTATTATAGTGCTCTGGCTAGTAACACATGAAACATCTGAACAGACAATAGTAACCTTGATATGGAAAAGGTCGAGACGAGAACTTCCATCCTTCCTCTCCGATGTTTACCCGATGAAGAGATCCAATGGCATCGAAACAAGATTCCTGGCACCTACTCCGTTACCCACTGGGCGTATAGTCGACAATGACAAGTCGACTTTCATCAAAGTGTATACAAGGGTAAACGTCTAAGAACTGGAGACTCTTTTAGATGTTCCAGAAAGTGGATGAGCATGTTGAATGCCCCAAAATAATTTAATTTCTCTTGCTACTATTTGAGTGTCCGCAAATACATAAAGCAGTACTTTGAACTGCAAAGAGGGCTGGCGAATTACTACAAACTCATGATGGCATTATGACTGCAAAAATGGGGCATACAGTAACTGGTTATCTGGTCGAACTATATGTGCATTTATCAAACAACAGCGGCAGCTTCACTCTTGGATAACTCAACATCTGGTACTTAACTGCTCTAGCAAATTTAAGTTTCAACAGCAACAGAGGCTGTCTCTGGTTCTTCATTCAAGGCAGTCTCTAGTTCTTCACTCAAGGCAGTTTCTGAGCTGGGATTTTCATTGTCCTGTTTTTTGTTCTTGGGTTTGTTGGTAATCGACTGTGTAGTGGCCTGCAATTTGGCAACAGCAGCCTTGTTCGGCCCCAGCATCATGATCATCTGTCTGCCTTCGATTGCCGGTTTACTCTCAATGAGCCCCAACTGCACATTCCAAAGCAATTCTCTCGATATGTCAAACAAGTAAAAGAAATATACAATATTAGCGATAGATACCGTTAATTTGTATTTGGCTCCTATTCAATGCATCTGCTGATAATTACAGGCACATTTAAGCGAAGAGTAGCTTGATATAAAACAGGACCGACATTCCTTCTTAAGGTAGAGTGACGCCTAAAACGACTTCTGAAACAACATAGGTATAGCTATAATTATAAGAGACATGTGCGCGTACCTCTCCAACATCGTCTATGAACCTTTGGAAGAGCTTAAATGCTAAATCCTTGAAATCCATTTCTCGTCCTTTGAACTGACAAACTACTTTCACCTGCAGATAACATACCAATCCTAGTGACATTCTTGAACGCAGCAACCAATTGTGGAATGCTGCTCATAGCAAAACTTCCAAATATTACAATGCAAAGTAACAGCCTAAATATGATCACATGGCAGATGTCCACCTTGTCGCCATCCTTCAAGAACTTTTTTGCTGACCGCAGTCGCACGTCATAATCATGAACATCAATGTTGTATCTGAACATCACAAGGATGGAATCTCGCTTAAAGGGTGCCACATGACAAGCGGTGAACAATCTTCCTTGTGCCAAAAACAAGGAGGCAAAATAAAGCAGAAAGATAAAGAGAGAAGAAGATGATACATGAGCGCATATTATTCTAACTTAACAGAACGAAAAGGAGGACAGAAAGCACATGTCTTTGCTTATCGTTGCATTGTACATACAAAAAGGCTGTGAAAGCATCCCAATTTGCTATACAAGATTTATTAAACTGTCATTTATATCATTCGAAAGTACCTGATCTTCAACTCTTTAAGATCCTGTCGACTGGCTGCAGGTCCGACAGAAAATATGTTAACATCACAACAAAGGTACGATTATAGAATGAGATTCTGTGAAGCCCGAAACAAGTTCATGCAAAGCAAAATTATACAAGTACTCACACCCTTTTCAAATGAAAATTACTCGAGGCTCTGAACAATAAATAAGAGCTATCATGATCCCTCTCCCAAGTTAAGAAATAATAAGCAACCAAGCGAGAGAGAGAGAGAGAGAGAGAGAGAGAGAGAGAGAGAGAGAGAGAGAGAGAGAGAGAGAGAGAGAATAAAACGATTCTTTATATTTTGATTTATTTCTAATTCAAAAAATTCAAAAGCTTTAATTACCTAATGCCTTCTTCTGAGCTTCCCTTTTCTTCTTCTGGGCTTCATACCTGAACTTACTGTATAAATACAGAAATTTCGATCTCAGTATTTTCATGATGAAAAACGATAACAGAAGGATTGGTTCAGTACCAAAATAAAATCGAAAAATCACCTGTAATCCATAATTCTGCACACAGGTGGATCTGCATCCAGAGAGATCGCCACCTGCAGAAAAAAGGACAACACTCAGCTCAATTGTATACATCCACAAAGCCCACTGCCGTTTTCCTTGAGCATGTTAATATAATGACTGAGATCGTCGTTTGTAGTTGCGTGCACAATGTTAAGAAAACGCTTGAATGCTTTTTGTTCTCATCATTTCAACTTAGCAATTTTTTTGCGACAATCAAGCAGTGTCTGAAATGTAATATTAAAAATGGTACTAGACTACGATTTTTTGACAGTAGCTAGTACTTCCTCTGATGAGATCTATTTCGGGAATTCACTATAATGAAAATTTTTATTTCAAGCTGCTTAACTTGTATTTAGAATATCGAGAGTAACACCCACAATTGAGCAATCTTCATGAAATCAACCAATTCTTCATACACTTAACATGCAGTTCAAGCAAGCTCCGATTCATATGCTCTACTAAAAGTTCACATTAGCATGAAACTTCCTAATGAGAAACAGGAAAAAATCAATAAATGTTTAGATAATCTCACAAGATCAAGATCAGCATTCCTCGCCCGTTGCAGTGCTTCTGCCGTAGGCACTACTCCAACCTGTTATAAAGAATACAATCAACCAATTCACAAGCATTGGACATTGCAACATATCAGTAAAAAAACAAGGGACCACCAGCATCCAATGCAAATTATATTGACTTCATCACTGTTAAGCTATAGTATTTTCATACCAGGTTTTGAAGACATGTTATCAGACAGAATTAGAATTCGTATTACTAATATAGTTTTTTTGTTATTACATTAATAAGAAAATTCCTATTTACATGCAGCATGTAGACGACACTAAAAGAACTTCAAACTTGATTGACTAAGAGCACGAATAAACTTAAGCAGTAATCCCGAATCGTTCCGACCTCGTTCCAAATTAATAAAGATTGTACCTTACAGGTAGATTTTCATAATATTCAAGATTACTTTGAAATAATCCAAGTTCAGTCATGCAGAATTTCAATTCAGGAGGAACATTTTGCAGCCAGTTATGAAATTGGCACATTATCACGTACCATGTTCTGTTCCTCGTCGACCAGCCTAACGTTAGGCACCCTGCATCACAGCCCCAACCCAACCGTGAGTGAATGCAATGAACTTCACCAAGGAAATGAACCACTCGCCACCATCACGGCACAGGACTCAATCAGCGGAACAGAACTTACGTAATGTCGCCATTGAGCAGCGTTCCATCCCCTTTAACCTCCTCTCTGTCCCCAGAACGTCTCGAGTTTTGAGGTCGCGGCCGCCTGGCTCCCGCAGGAGGCCGCGAGCCACCAGCCCTACTAACTACCACGAGCCTACCCCTGCTGCAACTACTAGTCCCGACGACCAAACCTCCGGGATGCCGCTTCTCAATCACATCCCCCGCATTGCTGCTCAGAAATCTACAACACGAAACAGTGGAACACGCGCTGTCTTCCCGAATCACCACACTTGAGCTCGGCTTCAGCGACGCTCCTGGTGCGAGAATGCGCCTCGCTCCCAGCGCTGCCATGTCTGCTCCTATCCCGAAGCTCCAATGCGACGTACAAACGCTCGTAAATCTGTGCAGATTTGCACCAATTCCTCGACAAGTGGTGCTTGGATTGTGATAGCCCCGCACTCCCCCGCTCACCCTCTGCTGCTCCTCCTCCGAAGCTGGGATAAGGTTTCGTCCCGCCCTCGCACCCCTCGAACGCGCTCCACGTCCCTTTCCCTAGTCCCTTTCTCACATCCCATTCCATGTCGCGTAACTTCAAGATATCCAACGCGATCCAAGTCCCTTCTTCACACTCCTTTCCACGAGGCGTTGCTTCGGGACCTGAATGCCACGTCACCATGTCCTTGGGGACCTTGCATGCTAATAAATTCTCGTGGCACGCTTTTTATTGTTGTCATAACACATTTCGGTGATGCGACTTTTAAAACTCTTTAATATATATATATATATATATATGTATATATATATGTGAACGTAGTTTAAGCATTTACTCTAAAATCTAGTGTCCTCTACTTTGCTAATGTGAGAAAGTTTTGTTGGAGATTTTGTATAGTATTTTGTAAAGTTTTGCCAAGAGCTGGAATCAAGAAACCATATGCTTTTTATAATTTTTTAACATCCAAAATATTAAAACTAGTGTTGAATGATTGTGTTTACTGGAATTAAACATGAATTGGATGTGAAAAAGTATGAGATCATCTAATTGTTTAGATATCAAAAATTTATAACAGATTTGAGGTTTTGAAATTTATAATTGTAAAAGATATTTATCAAGGTTTTTTTTTATTTGTTGATTATCCTAATATTCAAAGAGATTCTTATATGTAATAAGAATATTTCAATTTGTTTTGTTGAAATACGTGATATTCTTACAAAATTGCCTCATTAATCATAACATTGTATTAATTTTACTTTTAACTTAAGCTTACCCATACTTTTGTTTAATTTAAAAGAGAATCTCAAAACATTTATTGTGCTTTCTAACGGTTTTGTTTCATTTATTTTCATTTTAAAAAACCCAGGTTTTAATGGTAAGTCGGAAAGAATTTGAGTTGAGATATCTGTTGAAAAATATTTTTAAATATTTTTTTCACGTGGACATCTGTATGTAACTTTCTGTATTGCATATGTTTAAATACACACACATACTAAAAGAAACCATTGACAAGTTTCTTTTCGTATTATTCCTGTTCTTGTTTTTGCTTATTTGCTTTTTTCTAGAGCAGTGAAACCTTTTTCTAGCCATGATTATTTTCCTGTTTTTTTGTATGTTGCATATACATTTATTAAAACTAATTTCAAATTTGATTTGTTTAAAAGAGATGAGTGTCAACGATACTAGATAGTATAGCCAAACATTTCATTTAAAAAAAAATGGGAATGTTACCAATCAATGGTAAGCTAATATACATATATATATATATATATATATAGATTTTGAGTGTAACATATTTTTTGATTAAGAATGTGCAAAAATAACAATAAATAAATAAATATATATATATATTTATATATAAATCAGATTTTGTGATGTATTGAATTCAAGTTGAACAAAGAATTCAAGCACAATAAACGTAGTTTATGTGAAAGTTGTTATTTAGGGGCATAGAGATTACTTTTTTTGTGTGCAAAATAAACATATATTTTTTTACTTTGCTTAATTTGAAACATGACTTTAATGATCATCTGAATGTTGCATTCTTATAATTCAATATGTTAGGAGCATGCAAGTTTAATTTTAGATGATTTTAGGTGCTTAAAGTTTCCATTCTAAAGTTTTATATTTAATTTTATATTCAGTAAAATAATTTATGTACTTTATATGCAGTAATCACATGAAATGGATTCTAAACAATTATGCTGAATATGAAATTGTTTGGTGTCATATCAACATAATTGCTTTAGAATTAGTTTTAATTCCAATACACTCAATATAAGCTTGATTTAAAAAAAAAAACAATTGAAGTAGAGATGTTGATTGAACACTTACTTTGTATAAAAATGTGACATCTCTTGGATTCATCATTTATATCAATAGCAAAATCAATGGAGGAAACAATAGCGAAGGTTGCAAAAAATATAAATTTCAGTATGTGGTACTAATTTTGAAAGATGGGTTATGATTAATATCTTTGTATAAGTATTTGTAATGAAGCACTTTTTTAGATTGGTTCTCAAAAAAAAAAAAAAAAAAAAGGGGGATATTCTTATCATTCATTTAAAATTGTAACCTATAGAAGAAGAAACTTAAATAATACTAATTGAGACTTTTGTGAACAAAAATCTACTTTGAAAACAATTGTAGAAATATTCAAAAATTGTGTCCACTAAAGACACAAACAATTGATACTCACAGATGATTGGCACCGAAGTCACATGAAAGTAGTTACAAACGCAAAAAGGAAGTGAAGGATTTGAAAATTTGGTTTCACTTCATATGACTTACTTCCCACTAAATAAACAAACAAAAATTTCATGGCCTTTAAAAACTCTCAATGAACAAGGCGCATTCAATAAACATTGTGGAAAAGCCGACCATGAAAGTAGAAACCGCATCCTTGGCTCCATGTGGGCCCCCACAAAATCCGATTTAGTGGACATTTCACAAGACGAATTTTGAATGGTTCACTTGGCCAATCCAATGGCGCCAAGAGGACGAGGAGCCTATAACGGTGGAAGAATAGCCCGACGAAACGCCGGGTGTGGGGCGCCAGGGGGGACGGGCCAGGGTTGCAGGCCTATGACCGCGCCCCCGCCGTGCCCTGCCCAGGACTGGTCTGGCCTGCGTGCGAGACGAAGTTGCTGTTGCTGCCGTGGAGGTGAAGCTGGTTGTTGAATCTGGCGGGCGCGGAATTTCACAGATGCAGTGCCCTTGTTCTTGAAGCCAAGGCGGCTCGCATTCAATTATGGCTTGAGTTAGTGATGCGAGGCGTTGTGTGAGGTGCAAGAGGAGTGCTTTGTGGTTGATTCGGTAGAGGGGAGACAGATTGGTCCGCACTGTACCCGGCGCGCAAGTGCGAAGTTTTTTTTTTTTTTTTTTTCCGGTGACGGCGAGGAAGCGGAGCAAGGAAGGAGAGAGGCGGGAGGGAGGGAGGGAGGAAGGGAGGGAGGGAGGAAGGGAGGGAGGGAGGAAGGGAGGGAGGACGACGATAGTGGTGGTCGTGGTTTTGTTGATTGTGCTTGAGATCTGTCTCTGGAGTGATGCAACGCGGCGATGCAACGCGGCGTATTTGACACCGGTTGCTCCTGACTTGGGCCCCGCCCCCTCCCCTCCCCCCCGCGCTGGCGTCTTTCTGGATTCGTATGTTTGGATTTGGTGGAGGTTGATCGGCATTTGCGCGTCCGAGAGGTTGGTGGAGTTTCACAAGACCTCTCGCAGGAGCTGTTTTCTGATGATCTTGCGGGCTAATCCCCCCTTTTTATTTATTTATTTATTTTTTTGACGTGGGTTTGGGACATTTCGTTGTGTGGCTGCTTGAACGATCCAAGTGTTTAGGGGGTGATTGTCGGTCGGCAGATGGTGGGTTTGAGGGCATGAGTCGTTGTTATAGACACATAGATGGGTTGTGAATCTATCCATTTGCGGGGTTTAATCTCCCTCTGTGCTTCTAGGACTTTTGGTTTTTGATTTTGTTTTCGATTTTTAAAATTTTCGTTTGAGATTCAGACTTTGCTTTTAAACATAGAAGTATTTACTGTAGGTAGGGAGCAGCGATGGCACCCGGGCGAAGCTGTTGCAATTATCGCGTGTTTCTCTGTTTCGTGGCAGCAGCCACCATTGCAATATTCGGTCTATTAGGGCTCCTCAAACCTCTCAGCAATGACTGCAAAATGACTTTCATGTATCCGAATTACATACCAGTCCCTCTTCCCGTCGATAGGAAGCATAATAAATATGGAGTGTATCTTTACCACGAGGGGTGGAAGAGAGTCGATCATCGGGAGCATCTCTCGCAGCTGTCGGGTGTGCCAGTTCTCTTCATTCCAGGAAATGGTGGCTCTTTTAAGCAAGTAAGCAATTCTTCTGGACCAAATCAAATTCGGATGTATTTGGAGCCTTTCTGTTTCCTCGACCGACTGATGCCCTAAATTTTGTGGTTCCTATATGAATCCAGTAGTTTTCTTCCGAATCCTTGGGTCAAAAAGATTGAGTGTCAAATACATGCTTTGCGGATAATTATTTTAGAATACAAGGCGAGCCGTTGAGCATACAGGGTGGTTTGCCTGTGCCAGGTACGATCAGTGGCTGCAGAATCTGATAGGGCTTATAACGTAGGGCCCGCAGATGGGTATTACTACGAGCAATCATCTCTTACGCCGCTTGAAGCAGGTTCGGATGAGCGTGACATTGCTGAGTTATTGGCCGGAACCAAAGTGGATGAGCAGTATCCAAACCATCTAGACTGGTTCTCAGTTGATTTAGAGGGCGAGAAGTCGGCCATGGACGGCTGGATTCTCGAGCAACACGCGAACTATGTCGTCAAAGCAGTTCATAGGGTATTCCTCTTTATCACTTAGGTGGATTGCACTTGCATTAAAATTTGAATTTCCAAGGTCATAATAGGTTGGTTATTGTCGTGTGGTAGATTTTAGATATTTACAAGGAATCAATGGAGTTGCGGAAACAACACAATGAAAGCAGATCGGAGGCTTTGCCGACTAACGTCATCCTGGTTGGGCACTCGATGGGGGGTTTCGTCGCTCGAGCTGTTGTTGTCCATCCGGGCTTGAGAAAAGGTGCAGTAGAGACTGTGCTCACGCTATCTAGCCCACACCGGTAAGTCTTTTTATCGTGCAAGATCTCCTCTTCTCGTAAAAGACTGTCCATGTCGATTTGGTGGAATCTGATTCGCATCATGTCGGAAGAGTCAATGAAACTGTTTTCTTACTTTTATATGACTGATGCTGCTAGGTCGCCACCTCTGGCTGTGCAACCATCGTTTGGGAACTTTTTTTCCCGTGTGAACAATGCTTGGATACGTGGATATGAATCTGCCAAAGAGTCAGAAGCTCCACTCTCAAAGACGGTGGTTGTTTCTATTACAGGAGGTGCTCATGATTATCAGGTAAGTAGTGTATTTCGTGGAGTCATTCCACAATTTGCTCTGTTTGAGTATGATGTGACTGAATAGCCAACTTTGGTGTCGATTCTGAAATTTAATTGTGGTGCTCACAGGTTCGATCTCGAATGTCTTCATTAGATGGTATCGTGCCTCCAACACACGGGCTAACAGTGGCCACATCAGGAATGGTGAAAATCTGGATGTCCATGGAACATCAGAGCATACTTTGGTGTAACCAGATGGTGGTCCAGGTATATAGCCTCTTAAACTGGAAACAACATGCCGTCAAAAAATATGTCGTTCTGAATGCTTCTGAACATATCTTAAATTTGCGTTTATTTATTCGGTCTCTTTTTTGGTTTCGTGGCCACAGGTGGGACACACTCTACTTCAGTTGATAGATAGGAGAACTGGTCAACAATATACAAGCCCACACGTGAGACTAGCTATTTTTGTGTCCAACTTTCGCAGCGCACTCCCTCAAACATTCAATCTGCTGCCCCACAGGAATAAGCTTTCGCCTTATACACAACCTTATCGAAAGGTCTCGGAGAAAGCCATTAGTGCAAAAGGTACCTGTAACGTGTTCTGTTCTTAAATGAAGTTTTGTTTCATTAATCCTTTAAACTGAAACCTGTCTATGTCAACCTTGAAGAATTCTGACGTGTGAATCTATTTTGAAACTACAGATGTTGGTCTAGATACGAACGTGGTTTCTAAGGCGCAGGTGCAAGTTTCAACGAAATCTGGGTTCCAACCAATGAAATCGACTCAATTTGCATGCCCACAAAAGATTCACTGGGTAGGTGATATGTTCGACGACATCCATATAAAGCAACCCATCATGAACGTTTTATCAATGGACGGTAAACGGCGATGGATGGACATTGAGGAACTGGTGCGTACTTGCATACTATCTGTTTGTAGATAAAAATGGTTTCTTAAATTTAGAGTCTATTTCTTTCGTTTTTATTTGTATGTATTCAGGCATACCTAATTACGTTTTTCTCTTGGTTATTATTATATTAGAATGAGGACTTTAAGATGTGGACTGTCATATTTTCGGACAGGGGCGCAAGGGCAGGGACAAGCACGCGTGGTTTGTTCTCGTAACAAACTTGTCCCCATGTGTAGGAATGCGGGTGCACCTCTGGCCAGAGAAGAGCCGGTCGGGTGACATGGCAGCTTCCGAGCGTGTTGTGGAGGTGACAAAGAAGATGGTTCAGCTTCCATCTGGACCTACTCCACCACAGGTTTGTACCTCATTACTTTGCGTTGTAAGCTCTACTCATGAGAATCTTTTTAAGGAGAGAAATGTAGATGACTTTGTGGTATGGAAGCGCAGATCGAACCAGGAGGACCTGGAGAGCAGGCCTCACCTTCGGGAGTGCTTCAGTTGAGCCCCAGTGAGCTCAGTGGATTCCGATATTTGACAGTCTCTGTTGCTCCTACGCCGGTAAGTTGTTTTATTTTATTTTATTTTATTTATTTATTTATTGATTTTTTTGCTGTAGTATTTGGCACTCTTTGTTACTGAAGCTTTTTTGTGTAGAGGCGCACCCTCAAGTGTGTCCTCATGCACAAATCGTAAGATTTATTTTGAATCTCTTGGGGGTTGATGGTGCTGATTTTTTAATTGCAGACCCTTGTTGGAAGCATTCCCCCTACTGTAACCATGGCAGTGGCTCATTTCTTTGATCCTGATCAAGGAAAGACATCTCTATCTACTACATGGCTTTTGGCCTCTCTATACAAACGTCAGGTGTTGTTCTTTGCTTTGTCTTTGAGTCTTAATCATCATAATCTTATGTCGCTTCTATGGTCAGTCTGAAAACGGTTATTCGTATTTTTTTAATTCCTTTAATTTCTTTAATTCCTGTTTTCATTACATCTTCTGGATTAGCTGTAGTTTGAGAATTTAGGAAAAAACATGCGGCAGTGACACGGTGATTAATTGTTTTTGCTGATCGTTTGGGTATACATTATACTATTCTTATTTTTATTTTTCTCTTTTGCAGTTTTTGTGGCTGTGGGAATACCACCCGATGGTGTGGCAAGTCTCAGTCGCGGTTTCATTAAGTACTTTGCCTATTACCCTCGATGTGAAGATAGTGAGCTGTGGGGTAAAAACTGAAGGTCTAGCAAAGGAACATCCAGAGCCTGAGGATATTCTAAGTAAGTTGTCTCTAGTCATTACTTGTATTCAAGATATTATTCCATTGTTTTGTGAATCATCTGAATGTGCCAAGTATGCGAGACTGACTTACACTTCTGGACGGTACAATGATTCAATGCTCACTGCTTATGGAAACAGAACTCTGCAAAGCGCGGTGCTTTCCACCAGTTGCGCTAGTGTGGGATCCCCCGTATGGCCTGGACGTCTACCCCAATCTTACAACGCAAGTTATTGTGGTTGATTCCTCTCCTCCGACGTGGGGCTCCACTTATGGATCTGAACACTCCACTATTCTTCTCTTGGTACGTGCCACCCATGTTCAGAGCTCGTGAAGTATTTTTCTTGCAGAAATAAAGTGATTTTCGTCACTTTGTTGAGAGGTATTTTTACCATGCGTATATTGACACAAATCAAGAATCATTAATAGTGTCAATCATTCCATGACCTGATTTGCAGGCTGACCCACACTGTGTATATGACATCGGTGTTAGTGTGTCGCTGATAACATCAGCAAGTCGGTTTCTTCTTGTTAATGGGTTACAGGTGCGTTCATGAAGCACGCAAATATTGTATTCAATACTTCTCTTTTTTATCTGGTTCAGATTGGATAGGAAGTTCATGAGAATAAGGACATGAATTTTTGTGCGTCGTGCAGATAGTCGGGCTTTGTATTGCAGTGGTCTTGTTTGCTCTCATGAGGCAAGCTCGAGCATGGGAGGTGGACAACTCTGTCCCTTCATTCCTTGCTTGTATGGAGGCCAACTTCATGCTTCCTGTCCCATTCTTGGCTGTGACCCTGGGTCCGATCCTAGTTTACTTCTCTATTGTCGATTTCGGATCTGAAAGGCGGCCGACTTTGAGTAGTTTCTTGGGAGTCTCACTCGCATGCTATCTCTTTGCGAACGGAACTTTGGCTCTCTTGGCGTATCTCTGTAATGCAGTGCTAAGCCTTGCACACTCTGCCTACACGTGGTACATTTCTAGGTAATGAAGTCTTCAAAGTGCCTTGAATGAATTCAATCTGTAAATAAGTTCTATTGCATTCTCTTTCTTCAGGACTCCATGATTGTGAAATTGTGATTGTGCAGGTGGCCACCTCGGCATGATCAGTGGACCAAGCGAGTATTAAAGTCGTGTGGCACAGCCCTCTTGAACATTCAGGTCCATCTTCACCTAGCTTTTGCCTGACTCTGAACGTGAGTTTTTAAGAAAACAATCGTGCTGTCAAGCCAGAAAACATCTAACGCAGTGGAAACTTTTGCAGGTAGTCAGGAAGCTGAGGACGTGGCCGATGACGACCCTAGGGATTGGTATTTCAGTTTTGGTGCTCTTTGGGCACCCCAGCTTAGGTCTTCTAGTTCTGCTAGTAGTGCACACATGGAGATGTTTTTGGTCGCTTGTTAGGTACTCGCTTGTACCTCTTGTTGCCTTTCTTTGACTTGTGTCCTGCCTTTGGTGGTTTCGGTGACGGTCCTGTTGTGATTTGGCTTTCTGATTGAAATGTATGTTAACAGCTTGAGGCAGCAGTTGTGTCCAACCTTAATTTCAAAGAAGGAAGATAGCCCGCTTCTTCCAAGTAACGGCAATTCGTTATCGGACGGCTTTAATGCCAAGCCTTTGTTATTTAGTGATGGAGAATCACATTCGGAAATCTTTTATCATCAGCAAGGACTTCTCATACTCCATCTCGTCGTTATGATCATACTTGTTCCTTCTTTAGTTGCCTGGGCACAGGTGAAAGCTCTCAATCCTCCGTTTGTATCAATTTGAATTAAGCTTGTGTCGTGTGGCTTGGTAAGAAGTTTACTTGTGCCATTGACATGTTCCACGTTCTGCAACTGCAGAGATTAGGTTTGGAATGGACAACGCCAGCTCTGCTTGATTCAACTTCGTCATTGGCGGCCATCCTGCATGGCCTCTACAACATCAACGTGGATATCAATATTTCATTGGTCAAAGTCCCTCGCCTGTATGGTCCTCCTGCTCCTGATGCCGGGTTGAGCTTCATTTATCTGCTCGCGGGATCATATTGCTTCTGGGCCGGACTGGCACTGGCACCTTACAGGGCATTTTACGCCCTTGGTTTGGTTGGAATTACCATTGCTGGAATTAGAATTCGAGATTCTCAAGCTAGAGGTAGGGGTAGGCGGCATTTTCATAGACATTGAAGCAAAGCAATCATTCTTTCTCCTCTTAAATCCTCTCTAACTGGGGACGAGATTATGTGGAGACGCTCTTTTGGCCATTTCTACAGGCATTTTGGACCTGTTTTGCCGCAACGACGAGTTTCCAGAGGTTGAGTTAGTGCCAACTTAGTGGACATCGCTTGAGCTCTTCCTTCACATCAATCAATCTGCAAACATCAACGGAACTAACACTGTTTGCGACTTCAACCAAGTTGAAAGAAAGATGCACGAACCAGCTTGCAGTTGCGCAAGTGGCCATGCCCGACGGTACTTGGCCTTCCTTTTCATCACCATATTACCTAACTCCAAGCTTAAGGTGGACGTTGTTAGCGGGTGCCTGAAGCGTGTAGTCGTGAGGGAGAATTTGTGCGAAGGCCGAAGAGTACCAGACGATTTTTAGCGGAGCGTGTGTCAGCAGTTTCGTGGATCTTGTGGGGGCTGTCATTCTGAAATGATACGAGACCACTTGTGATCAGTGTGCGAGTATATCCCGATTGGAACTTTTGTTGTTGGCCCTTGTAGTGCCCCAGTATTATCAAATTCTTGTTTCGTTGAATGCGCGCTGCCTGGTTGTGTTATTTCTTCAGTAACCTGATTTTAGGGCATACCTGCCTTTGAATGTTGCAACATTATTTAAGATGCATCTTGGCGGCGCGCTTCATTTTTAGTGTGTATTTTTAGTGTACTGAAAGTTTAATGAATAGTGACCATTTGAAGGCTTCAAAACTATTCCGTGGTTTTTTTTTTTTTTTTAAATGATTTATTTATTTATTTATTATATCTGACAAAACAAAGACCGTTTCCCAACGTCTACACGACGGGAGGTCAAAAGCAAAGCATGAAACCCAAAATTTCATGATGAACTAGGAGTTCACCGAATGAGATTGATGAGTAGTTCTGCCTTCGACTGAAAAACTGCATCTTCAGAGTATTATCGTACGAAGGTATTGTTAAGGTGAACTACCTTTTCAGCAACAGTTTTAAGTCCTGCATCGATTCTCCATCGACACCCCAGAGTCTCTCCGAGCAAATGAGTGTGAAAAATATGTTCCCCCCATTTGAGTGCATGTGGGTTTTTGTAGGGACTTCAATTTAATTCGAATGCAGAACACAAAATTGAGGTCAGGTATTCCAAAGTGATTTTGGGATGTCTGGTCTTCCAACAAATGGTCATAGAAACGAAGTGTGAAATAGATGAGCAGGTCATTGAATTAGATATTAAAGTGGAAGTCGCCATCTTACATGAAAAAAAATTGCATCGTTTACGCTGATGCGATTGTAAGAAAGTCAGGAAACAGGAATCTCACTTGTGGGGGTTGATAACCGTGCCTTATGGCTCTTGCAGAAATCCGTTCTTCAAAGTGCTGCTAAGGCTGGTCATTCCTCCTGCAGATCATCTCAGATTTTATGCAGCTCGATTGGGAGTGGTTTGGAAATGCAACCTCAATTCAGTGTTAGCAAGTGGGTGACTCTAAAATGAATAGAGGCCTATCAAAAGGCTTATGATTCTAAAGGTAATTCAACAACTTCTCTATACAACTGTGAAACCTACTACCAGATTGAATGAATGCATTCAGTCAAAAGTGTTTGAAATACGTGAAATTGTCGATGTGAAGAGCAATTAGAACTAGCAGTTCACAACCTGATGTTGCAGATGAGGGTGCTCCGTCATCAAGTTAATATGCACAGGATTGCTATGTAATAGATTGAATATAAGGTATTCTCTGTTACTTGGCTATTCTGTATCTCTTCAAATATATATTTCTCTCTCTCTCTCTCTATATATAACTAACTTTATTGGAGAATTAAATCTTTGAAAAGAAAGTACTTCCAATAATTAATTAACATTTTGGAAATTGACTTTGTTTTGTGGTCCATAACTAATATTTTTTATTTCTATTAATTTATTAATTAAAAGTAATTAACAAACATAAATAATCATATGTGATTGGGCAAGGGAAGGTCACGTGGTTAGCTAAACCACATAGCTAGTAGGGTAGAAGCAAGCAACCTAGATTGCAATGCCTAAGCAAGGTTGATTTCATTCAACTAAGGTTTATAGTTGCAGGAGAACATCTTGATGAAGTTAGGAAGCAACGTATCAAAGTTAAAGTAAGTTTTGTCTTGCCATATTGTTGAAGTAAGTTTGTGTGCTTCTTACTCTATAGAGTGCAATGTTACCAATCAGAATATTCTCTTTGGAGTCAAAAGTACTTGAGTTTGGAGGAGACACAATGATCTTATTGTCAAAATGTCTCTTCTTGACATAGTTGTTGCTATCACCTTCAAGCTCCATTGTAATTTCTTTATATGTAAGAACTTGTAGAAATTGCCCAACTTCTTTATATGTAAGAACTTGTAGAAATTGCCCAATGCTTTTATAATACTTTATATAAATGATATTAGTAGAAAGTCCTAATTTGTAAAGTTTGATAATCTTATTACTTAGCATCGTACCAACTATTCAATTCACATTCACAATAAGACTCTATGTAAACCAAAAGCTTGCTTTCCAACATATCTTAAGACAAGTTAATAAGTATTTGGTTTGATGCCCCCTTTGATAATTACTTAAATTTGATAATTAATACTTTTTCTTGTAAATAATAATACTAATTATAAAGAAAATATTGCAATTTTTTTAAAAATAATCAAAGCAAAACTAATGCAATTCATTATATTTCAATGTATTAAAAGAAGCCATTTTAAGATCAAATTATCATGGTAAGTTATTTTTAAAATTTAAAATCATACTAAAATTTATTCAAAGAAATGCTCACTTGTACAAAATAGTGTTATTTTCTAAAAATTATAATTTAGATATTAGCATATAAAAATATAATTTTACAAATTCTTTTGTTTTTTTTGTCTAGTTTAAAAGTTCTTGTATAAGTTGCTAACAATTCTAATTTTCTTTTCACAACTCTTTGTAGAAATATGTACTTTTTTAGTCCAAATTCTGAACAAAATACTATAGAAACTAATTACTATTGTTGCAAAATTATTAAAACACAACTAGTAATTCTCAAATTTTAAGTTACAAGGTCTTTTTTCTTTTCTTTTTTTTTACATTCAAAGCCTTGACTTCATTTTGTTATTGTTATTGATCTTTCTTAAACCTCACTATTCAAAAAAATCTAACCAACATTTGAATAAAAAGCCAATGTTATATCATCAGCATTTAAGAGATGTGTTAGTAGGACATCATCCTTGTGTTAGCAGGACATCACTCACAACAAGTTCAAAATGTCTCACCATACTTCACATTAAAAGATGTGTAGGTATAAAAAGCTTCTGCAAGTAATCAAATTGTAAAGATATTTGTAAGTGTACATAACCAAATATCCTAAAAAATCCAAAACTAGATGCATGACCAATGGCCACCAACTGTGATTATAACAAAAATAGGACCACATTTTTTTTGTGCATGTTGTGCCAACTTGCCCTCTTGATACGAAACAGTTTTAAAAGTTTTATTTGACTATGACACCCAAGTATTGGTTGAAAAGAGATGTTGGTCACCTTTATCCAATATGTATTATACACATCCATCCAAGTCTGTTGCTAACCACTATCTCTATCACGATCGCCTGCCCTCAACAGCTATTAGTTTTTCTTTTCAGTAATGAATATATTTAAGATTGGTGCATCCAGTGTGAAATAATTCTTGTATATATTTTTCCTTAACTCAATGTTCAATCAGAGTATTGTGATCAATGAAACCTTCACAAGCAAGCGGATCCAGACTGGGTGTTGGAAGTAGAAGGAGATACTAGCCGACGTGCTATTCGTGGCACTTGACACAAGGAATGCTGGGTGTGGAAGTGAAACTTCGATGCAAGGGTTCTTGGGGGAAGGACCCCGAACATTTGTGAGCTTGATGAGTATAGTCCAAATGGCAAATCTGTAGGAATGGAGTGCGAGTTGGCTGATGAGAGGAGGTGAAGCCTTGCGAGCGGTTCGGCTGAAGCCATGCCTGGAGTGAAGGCCTTTAGCTAAGGTTTTGAATCTATGAACATAGCATTTAACTGAGTGCATGCCGTAAACCGCGTATTATCTAGCATTACGAGCGACGAAAGCTTCAAAAGGTATTCAATGAAAAAGACATACTTTCATCATCGACGTCAACAAATTCACACATCATGTTTTTGTGGAGATTGCAAAACGCTATCTATCCCAAAAAGCCTAACACTGTGCATAGAAACATCCTGGCAGTACACAAGGCAACACAACCAAATTTGGAAGGATGGATTTCGGGCCCAGTTGATGAACTACACTAACCAAATTCATCAACTTCAGGATAAAAAATGAGCCACAAACCTTGGTAAGGCCATAATCTAGACTACAGTTGTACTACAGACAGGCCATTTACACATAAACTAATATCCATAGGAGGTATTGTAATGTGACGCATATGACGCTGCAGGTGGACCTGTTGCTGGGGTTGTTGAGTACATAGAAGGTTGGCTTGGGTATGAACTGTAGTTAGTGTCCACTGTGCTGCTGTAGGTGCTGGTGTAAGGTGGGGGTCCACTGGATGCGCCTGTCATGAAATTCTGCCAATCGACACACCCAACAAGACAACCTTGTCCTATCAGATCCTGCTCTAACAAGGCTAATATTAAAAAATTATTAGGAGGTGTACTGAACATATTCAATGAATTTGATTATAAAATTAATAGGTATATTTATCCTTGATGTATTGATTTATTAGTGATAATTACGTGTCACAAAGAAAGAAATAATGGTATGTAGATCCTCATTTAATATGTAGTAGGATTATAGCACTGTGTCTTCAGTGACCTGATAATGATCGTCCTGTTGAAAAGGATTACATTGCATCTGCATCAAACTCCCCCACCAGGTTCAGACAATGCAGTTTTATGTGATATTAGCCGATTCATGACAGCACAGGTCAGTCATCGTGATGATATTGCTTTTTTACTCGACCTTTATTTTTACTTAAACTTGCTATGCAATTTGAAATTGGTTCTTAATATTCACACGAAGCATTTGAACTCACGTAAAGAGGGAAATTACAGTACTTCAGGCAAAACGACCGACAAAAGTGACTGTAGGAAATACAAGGCACACTCAAGTAGCTCCACTTGAACCACAAATTCTTCATTGTATGCATCATACCTGGATTAATTGCTGAGCAGTCTGCACTTGAGATGCGCTCCCGTGAATCTCAACCGTCATCTCGCCAGGCACACTCCGAGTTTCCTGGATTGTAATTGTAGCACCACTGGTGCGACGCATATAGCTGATGTTGGCACCTGCGCTACCAATGATAGCATCCGCATATGAAAGAGGGATCTGCATATGTTGAGTTACCTGCGCACAAACCCCTGTATTAACACTTCACCCATGAAAAAGCAAGGCAGGAGCGGACCACAATATTAAAGGCTAACATGTTATTACCATAGTCGACAGTGATTCAATTCTATTTGAGACCGTATACCAGGAATATTTTACTGATCTTTCGCAGACTCCTCTTTGCATACACGAAACCAGAATTTGATTGATTTGATGTACGATTGCTTATCCAACAAGAGACATGTTCACAGGAAGCGCTGAAAGAAAGGAATACATGGGGAAACCCAAAATACCTGCGTGATAACTGGGGCAGGAGGAGGAGGCGCAATGGAGCCTCCTAAAGTGGGATCCCGGCCATACATAGAGACGCCGTGGTGATGCTGGTTGGCCAGATCATGCGACTGCTGTTGTGTTTGAGAATGATGCGAGATATCAGCACCTCCATAGTAAGTGGAATCATTACTGCTGTAGCTGGGTGGCTGCTGTTGCTGGGTGCTGCTCGGCTGCTGCCATTGGGAGCCTGTACTTTGTTGATTATTCTGATTTGCCACTGCCCGCTAAAGAACCCAAAAAGAACAAAGGAAGTAAGGGTGTGACGAACATTTCCACGACCACATACACGAAGAGATACAGGAACTTATAAACATCATAACCTCACTACACACTGACATGATTAGACTCCCACTATCTCCCATAACCCATAATCGTGAAACCTTTCTTCCATTACCAGCACTTAATCTATTCCTTTCCACATGAATTTAATTAAAAAATTCGAATCATGATAACTTACATTTAACTCAAACAATGGAAGAACACTCCTATCCACCAAGAACTTGCGAAGGTGCGAAACAACAAGTTCCATTGCACGCTGCACGTTACGAGGGTCACCCTGAACTTCCACAACTCGATCATCTGCTAGCGCACACAATGGAAGCTCCTCTGCTTTCCATCCCTCACACATAACAACATCCTCATGTCAACAAGTCTGGAAAGCACAAACTTCATATCAGCTAAAATAGTAAAAGGGTGAAGCGACTAGCTCTTCATCATTTTGTGCGCAGAAACTCTTATTGCGTAAGAAAGGATAAACCTCACCACCTTCTCGAGCGCCAAAGAATAACAACACATAGTATAATGATGCTCCAGGAAACCCACTAACCAGCAGGCAAAACGCGAACATTTGCACCCGAGGTATCTTGAATAGACTTAATTGTAGCACCCTGGCGACCAATAAGACTACCAGCTTGAGTGGCAGCTACGAGAAGGCGAGAAGATACAGGCGCACCCCCTGGTGCAATCTCCGCATCCACCGACTCTGGTTCAGCTCCTTCAATGACGCGCCGATGTACACGTAGAAGCCCTTCCATGGCGGGAGATATTGCAGCTTCAGGATCTTCCCTTGCTGAAACCATGACCTACAGAACAATATCAGATTGGAGATAAGTATCCCTCTCTTTATACTGGGCGCCTACATCCTGAACAAGAGGATACATTACCTCCACACGCACTTGAAAGGGTCACATATGACGAAAAACATTTTACGGACAAGAACCGAAGGCTATGCAAGTTGACGATAGCAGAAGTCAGAAACAGAGAAAGAGCGAACCCTAATTTGAAATAGGATGCAATCAATCAGCAGAGTATCCTAATCGATTTGAGAACTCTTTTCGTCGATTAGAGTATTTCAAAATAATTCACACTGAATTCCTATACAATTCAAATTATTACAGTAACTTCACAATGCACAGTAAAAGAGCTTACAATTCGCTCGGCCGTGCCAGGCACACCCTCCAGGATCTTGATTCTAGAGCGCGTCTCTTCACACATTCTCTTCACGAACTCCCCCTTGCGGCCAATGATGCCCCCTACCTTCTGTACAGGCACAACAAGACGAAACACATTGTCGCCGGGCCAGCCCGCCCACTTCTTTTCACCATCCTTCTCTTCGCCTCCGTCGCGACTTCTCTTTGACCCTGTGGGTGTAGTAGGTCCTCTAGCGAGCGAATTTCCATCAAGCAGAGAGTCTGGCTTTACGTCAATCGGTGATGGAGCCCGTGGAGCTTCATCCTCCGTTTGAGGTTCGGTTTCTTTTTCCTCTTTCACTAGTAGAGCCTCTGCGGAAACTGCAGGCTGCACCTCTTGAGGCGGAGATGCCACATCTTCGGGCAGTGGCAGCACATGCTCGTCCTCCACGATACATACAGGCACGTACTCCTCTTCCTGCTGAGGCTCCTCTTTCGCAGGCGTGGTGACCACTGTGACCTCCGCCACCTCAATCACCTCCATGGCCTCCATTTCTGCCATGCCTGCACCTACCGTAAGAAATTGCCCACACGGAAACTATAGAAACCATAGAAACCAGTGGCAATGGAGCATTCTAATCACTTAAAACAGATGTAGCTGGGACCTGTAATTTAAGAGCTCCTTCAGCTCGCTTCCAAGCCCAACATACAAAGAAGACAATAACCGGTGGATATACTAAAATTGTGAGCGAACTAGTCCAGATAAAAATAAAAATAAAAATAACCCACTCAGTAATGTATGGGTTTAACAAGCTACAGCGCGCAAGGGGCATAATGGGAAACAAGACCGGTGGAAAATAAACACAAACCCTAATTTTACAAAAATCGAAATGGGAGGATTACCAGGCTCAGGGGAGCGAAGAAATGCAACTCTTACCTCGATGGAGGTCGTGATGTTGTGCGACCCCAACAGTCAGCTGAATGCAAGATCAAAAGGAGTTCAACGCTAACCGGTTTCAGTTGAACGCAGGATTGATGAAAGCTCACAAGACAGCATTCGCTAGCCTAAGTTCACTTCTGGCGCTGCACGTAAACCAGAGCGTGCTTTCTTCCCCCTCTTCTCTCGCTAGGGCGTCGAAAGCGGGAGGTTTTATTCATCGACGGAAAAAAGTTTTCGTCCACATGGTCCCTTCATAAAACGATGAGAACCGGCATAATGAACGATATATCTTCGCTCATCCGCTAGTCTTCCACAATACAGAGGGAGTGTTTTCTCGGATCGCACAAGTATGTCTCCGCGGAAAAGTTGGATTTCGTCTCTGTTGATGCTGCCTCCGTAAGCGGAATGCGTTGCCATGGCTCACCAAGTGCAAGTGCCAGAATTTCTTCTAGGTGCTGATTTGGCAGGTGGGTCCTTCTCTCCTCCAAGCATCTCCGTTCAGCAAATTCTCCTGGTCTCGAAATCTCTTGCAAAACTTCAATTTAGACTTCTTTCCTGTGATCTCTCCTTTCAATTTAAGCGCAATGGTGTTTAGCTGTTTAATTCATCTTTTTATTCATCATCGCGTGAATGATGGTTTTTTGCTTGATATTGGTTTTTCGCCAGCGCTTAGAATTGTCCGAATCATTGCGATGAGAATATCACTCGGGCACCTAGATTTTTTCTGCACACACCTGCCTTAGTTTTCTGCACAACCTGGGATTTTTGGGTTCCATATCTTACAAGGTCGCAATCTCAGCTTTGAAGCGGATCGTATCACCCAATTTGTAAAATTTCTAAAAACTTGAGAAGGACGAAAACATTTGACACTTGCAATGCTTTTTGAGGCAGCTACTGTACTGAGTTTGCAATGTACAGTGTCGCAGGAGTTTGCCAAGATAGCGCTGGATCGTATTGTCAAAAGCGAGGCAGGTACACGAGGGTTTGCCAAGGCCGCGAGGGTGTTGCAGGTTACTGTAGAAGACGTGGAACAGGCTGTGGCAGCTTTGACGACGCTATACGCCCGTGCAGTCCGACTCCAGCTCCAGCATGCGGAGTTACTCACAATATTCAGTGATGCAGGTAAAATTTCCACCTACTTATTTCTAAGAATAACAGATTAATTTCATCGAAGCTTGAGTTGTGATGGAGGTGTAAGGGTTTCACTCAACAAGCATGGTCAACAGGCTTCGAGGAGGCGACTGGAGCTGTGCTGGCAGACATGTTCACCCAAAGACACCAAGAGCTTTTTGGCGTTGTTGCTTTAAATGGCACCTCTTTTAGTCGTCTTGATTGGCGTCTAGACATTCAGGCAAGTCATGGCAACTAGACATTTACAACCTCCGATGTGCAAATGGATTAATGAATTATGTTATCCTCACTTATTCCATTTCGTATTTTAGGGTTTCCTTACTCCATAATCTCTGCCCTCTCGGCAATCAAGTCGTTTCTATTGGCTAGATACATTCAGATGCCATGTAAGTTGTGATTGTTGGTTGTGAGCCTTATCATGGAAACACGTTCTCTTTAAGCCATTACGGATCCTTCAAGGAGTTGATTGTCTCTTGAAACGCAGGTTGCCAGTCGAAGTCTACGACAACAAGCCACTCCCCGCTATTTATTGGCATTAAAAACAACTGATGGTGTGAAACACATCGAGGCTGATTACAGCGTGCTCAAGGATGTCTGTCTTCAATTGGAAGCTGCTCTCGCAGAGTCACGCAGCACTCGCAGCCGACGGTTCCTGCGAGTATTCAGATGACAACGCTGTGCCATACTCCATGAATTCAAATATGAATCAGCACATGGTTTGAGGATGCATCTTCCAAGGCCTTGATCATTCTTAAAGTGCCGCTCAGTAGCTGATGATGCTCCAAAGGCAAGACGCCCCAGATCAAAACCCAACTCCAAGTTCTGATTTTGCAATACATGTTGGTGCAACTTTAGGGTTATGCTTTCTTCACAGTTTGGTATTCTTCTGGCATTAGTGTTTAGTCAACAATTAGCTGGTAATCAACTCTTGTGATTGCTACATAGCATCTAATATTCTCCATTGTGTGAATGGGTAGTTGGCAGCAATGAGGTGGATATCTTTTGTGTAGGAAAAAATGAGGATCTGTGAAATTTGAAGAACAAAAGTCTGCTCTAAGACTTATGTTTCTATTTCATTCTGGCCTTTTGGTGAGTGGGTGCTTCACTTCACCTCATCTGGAGTTTTACGTTTATTTTTTGGATTGAGTGAACCAAAATCCTTCTCAGTACCTTATTTTCATTTCAATCTTGTTCTTGTGTAAGTCAATGCCGCCTCACATTGTTACATATGCACAGAACTCATTCTTGTTCTATATGTAATTGACAACGCATGTTTTAACTCCGATTATATTATCATAAAGGACAATTTTCATATAAAAATATGACCCAATCTGGGCCTTTCAGAAATTAGTTTAAATACCTGTTTTGAATCAAATTGTATTAAAACTGTAGGACAACTTTTGTGCATTATGACTGGGCAGATTTTCATCGTTTAATTATTAATTTATGTCAAAAAGCATTAGATATACTAAGCAGCAATAACTTAGTTTCAAAGTAAACTGACCATAAACATGTATCTTGAAAAAGATTCTGAATCTTTTGACAGAAATTATATGTCAAATAGTTTTTTCCTATATAATATATAAATAAATCATTTCAAAAGTAACCCACTTTTTAGTATTTTTTATATGTTGATGATGAACTAAAACCAAAGTTTTCTCTGTTTGTATCTGTATTCAACAGCATTGTAAGTCTTAAAAAAAAGAATTAACATGTAATTATTTGTATTTCTATATACACACATATAAATATATATATATATATATATATACTTTTAATGAATGTTAATTCAATAATAAACAGAAAAGCCATTATTATCATGAGGATTTACATTTTTATTATATCAATATTTCACACTTTAAAAGTATTCTTGTTGATTTTGAATTATCAATATATGTAGAATATTGCTAATACCACCATAGTTTGTGCTATTGCCACCCACTCAACATATTGTGTTAGTATTTTATTCCAATCCAAAAAGAAAATTAGTATTTCTAATATGTTCTCTTTCACTCAAATTACAAAGAAAGTAAATTTAATTTTTCCAAAACATTATTGAAAAGATGATAAGAATATGATTTTTACCAAAAAATTTAGTGTAAAACCACATTTTTTTTCAATATTAACTATGCACACACACACACACACACGTATATATATATATACATATATATATATATAATTTAAAGGAAGAATTACTTTTTTATTCAGCACTAACAAAAGAGTAAGTGATATGTGGTGGATGGAAGGTTGTGGTGGCAATAGCAAAAAATGAAGAAATATATATTTTTTAAAAATTGCTTTGCTTTATGAATAATAGATTAAAATAAGTTATTCATGTACAGAATACAATAATAAATTACAACACAAATAATTTAATCAAGAATCATATAAACATGTATTTATCAACACCACATGAAAACCTAAAACAATAATAATAATATCAAAAAGTATGTATATATATATATATATAGATATTCATTTTCTGAACGCACATCTCACTAATAATCGGTTGCTAAAACAAACTAGCAATTTTGGTCACAATTTACACGTTTCATTTCTTATTTGTTTCTAAAATACACGCATATATATAGTTACACAAATACGTACGTAGTCACACACACATGTGCAAGAATCACCATAAATTATTAAAAAAAAATAGGGCTGGAGAGCGATTGAGGTGCAGACAAAAACACCACAAACAGTACTTTCACAACCAACACTTGTAGACATCTATGCTGCAAAGAGTACTTTGAAACCTCCATTCATTGAAGTAGAAGAAGAAAATAATAAGAAAAATACTCTAATATCCCCATGAAAGCTCAACCTCGAACCTTGAGTCTGGCGCAACGAAGAAGTTCGCCGCGTCGACATGTATGCGTGGGAAACATCGCCCAGAAAATCAATGACCGAAGCTTTGCATGAACGGCATCAACGTTCATTTGCGGCGTGCGAGACAGCACCGACCTCTTCAACGACTCGTCGCACCACGCGATTGCAGTGCTGCAACTGACTCATCGCACGGGTCAGCGGCTACAATCATGTCACGGGGGACAGAAATTGTCACAGGACGTGAATGGGTTCGCATGATTAGGATTACTCAACAACACCTCCCCTGGCAATAATCTCGACGTAGAGACAGATACAATCGATGAACATTTTGGAAGAAGAGGCGGAACGATCACGAGAGGAAGCATGGCGTTTGGAACACGAGTAAGCTACAAACACATTCATGTAGCTTTTCCTTCGTATAAATTATGAATGAGGGAAACGTTCATCAAGAATCATGTCCCCACTGGGCATTGCCGTAGCGGACAGTGCTTTCACAGATGAACTGACCTTGTGCGAGAATCAGGCGCTACGGTAAAGCAATTTACAACAAAAAAACGGACTAGCACAAACATGAGACGAATCGCATGTCCAAGGCTATCTGCATAGAGAGGGCGGCGTAGATGATGCGCTGGTTGGAGAGTCAAATGGCCCGCGGAGTGGATATGAACATTGGGGAGAGGAGATTTAATGGGCCGCTGAGGCAGGGGCTTGAATTACGACTAACTGGTTCTTGGAAGAATCTAGGCGCCGGCGAGGGTCAAGACAAGCTCACGCTCCCCGGGCGAAGGCTTTTACGGGGAACGTCTTCCCAATGCCGGTGAAACTCTTGAAGAAGATTTTCTCCTCATCGTTTTCGTCCACAGCGATGTCCACAATGGACACCCAAAGAAGCTCCTTGGCCTTCACGCCCGTGAGCTTCCGCAGCCTCCCTTTCTCCAAATACGCCGTGATCTTGTCGCTGTAACTCACCTGCTTCGAGATTTGCTTGAACGTATGCACTATAGGCTTCTTCTGCGTCACCCACACGTACCCCGTCTGTTTGTTGTACCCGCACTCCACTACGTCCTGCATCGGCAACAACCCATCCGGCAACCCGAACTCCGTCAACAGCTCGATGGCCTTCCCCAGGGACTCCGGCCCCGAGTGACTCAGTTGCAACTCCTCCACCTTCGTCGTCTGCAAATCCCCTCCTCCCGTTTGTGTTGCCATTCCTCCCCAAAACCTCTCAATTCCTCCCCCACCTGATTGTGCGAAACTATTACACAATCCCTTCCAATCAAACCCAAACTACTCACTCCTCCTCCTCCTCCTCCGCACAACGATACTCTCTCAGGTTTTCCGAAACAGAGCGCAGATCAAGAGCGGAGACGACGCACGAGTCACGACACTGGTAACGCGCTCCTTTACAAGCACTCAAACTCACCATTCGTAACTTACCAGTCCTCATTCGCTAGTCACCACTTACTTTCCAAGTGCGACGTGTGAACAGAGCAGGTGGGGCTTTGATGGGGTTTCTATTCACACACGTCTCCACGATCAAAGGGGAGGAGGAGTAACAGCCGCCTTATAAATTTGTGAAGATCTTCACACACCCCCCCCCCCCCCCCCTTCAATGCTACCAAATTTTCCAAGGATTCTCATCAGAAGATTTGTTGGGTGCAACGAGGAAGATGTCGATGGGTGAGAAAGTTAATTGTGTGAGAATTTTGCGTATCGTGCTCTCGTTTTGATTGCGACAAATCTAGTCTTTTGTAGTGTGATAGGGAGATTCGATGGTAAGAGGTTTCCTCTTTGGCAGTTGGTGGAATAAACTGGGCGATTTTTTTATTTTTTTATTTTTTTATTTTTTCCTCTTGGGAGGGTTGCCAACTATGACGTAGTGAGCTGGAGGGGAATCGAGGCTGATGCCCTTCTTTTGCCAACTTCAGCCAGGCAGCGTGCGCTCGTTGGTGGAGAGATGTCAGGAGTTTTGTGAAAACTTGACACATGTTGAGATTTTAGAACGGTTCAAAGGATGCTGAACTGTGTGTGCTGCACAGAGTGAACTCTGCGAAAGATTTTTATTCGAAAATAAATAAATTAATTAATTAATAAACGCGTTGGAGATGTTGAGATTGGTACACGGCTTCCACACACACACACCCCCCCCCCCCAAACAAATGAGTGCTCTATTGTGTACAATAGAGTCAATACGAATCACATGGAACAGTGGATCCACACGTCTCATCAACTGCTGCGAGTTTATGTGAGTAGGTGGGGTTTTTGCTCTGTAGCATCGAAAATGATGCAAAAGTCCAGACGCCCCACTGAAGTCATTGTTTCTCTCGGAGGGGGGAGAGAGGGGAAGAGAAATAGAATTAAAAACTGCTAGGGTGGGTGGACAAGTCGTTGAGGTAAAAGCATGCTAGGAATGATCAGAGGCTGGTGATGGATAGGTGCCATCTGTCGTCCCATGTTCCCAAATTTCCCTGCGAGATTGGCCCTCATTGTTGGAAAACATAATGGTCTAGAAATCTGACCGAATTGAAGGGTGCCTTTGTTGTATTGAGTAAAATAAACGAATGATACATTATTCTTTGCATACTCCGGAGACAAAGGTGGCAAACCACTATTAAAGACACCTGGAAAGCACTCATGCAGGGGGGAGATTTCTATGAATATTAAGAAAAGTTATATTAATTCACTCGTATATTGGTGTCTGTGTTTATTATCAAAAAAACCTCACGGTAGAGCTTTCAATTGGTCACAATGAACCATTGACAGTATGTGTAGCGACCCACGAGGACTGCATCCCTCAAAAGTTTCTGGTGAACCTCAACTCACTGATTTCAGGAACTTCTGATTTCTCGAGAGGCAATAACCAAAATCGAATGGTGAGGTGCCGGTTGACTGTTGAAAATAGCTCGCGTCCTATGGCTCCTCTCATGCATCTCTCTGACGCAGACTAAATCAGATCCAACATCAATCTTCTTGTACAGAGGTCGTCGTTGCTGTGATTTGGGTGGTGAGCCTTGTAGCAAAAAGGCACGATGGTTTTGAAGAAATATTATCCTGTGAGGCAACCTGTAATAGAACATGCCCCCAGGATGTAGAATTGCAGTTCTGACAACGGGTGATACCTTGGCTTATAATGGCCAATTGTTCCTCACGAGGAGCGTTGCTTTCTCCATGTTGGGGACCGCAGATTGAATTGACTTTGGTTCACAGAGCAGGCATTGCTCATGACAAGCCGTAGCTGGAGGAATAAACAAGCAGAATCGATAGAGCGTTTTGGGACTCCTCTCTTACCGAATATCTCAGACTACCGACATTTATACCCTAAAGATTTATGCTAATAAAAACGATCTACAGCACGACATCTCGAAGGTTTCGAGTACAGACGAGGTGCAAAGATTTTAGAGATTCTGGCTAAAATGTTCTTTTAACAAATCCCATGCTCTTTAAAGATTATACATGCGGCATCGCAGGATGGCTGTAACATCATCACGGAAACGAATGATCTAATGTGAGCGTGTGGGTTTTTGTTGCGTACGGATTAACCATGTATTGGAAAGAGCTTTTTACGATTTGAAAGACGAAGGTTAGAACATGATATAACTGGTGGAACTAAATGATCCAAACTTCTAATCTCCTTATAACGAACAGTGATTAGATATCAGCAACTACACCATGAGAAGAGGATCACAAACCTCTTTCGGTTTGTATTAGAGGGTTATATCGCATCAGCGGCGTGGGAAATCTTTTGAACTGTTATGAGGTAATGTTCATCGCCAGGCGTTATAATGATCTCTGTTGTGGTGGTCCGGATCCGGAACATCGTCATCGGATTCTGCATAGCCCAACTAGTCATGGGACTCGGAACTAACAGCCCTTCCAAAACCATGCAGGCAGTCTTGATCGACAACAAGACAACAAAATGCTCTGTTCAATCCTACAAAGTGACGTACATGGAGCAATTATTGTTCCAAACTAGACACGAAACCGTAAGTGACAGCGTAGTTGAGTAAAGATAGCAATTACAATACCATTTTATCATGATTGAGACAAATCATATGGGCTCGATGTATCAACGGTGTAATGAAGGCCGCATACTATGTCACAGGCATTCAACAGATTAGTATACAAGGCTGGAGTTCCGTGCATTTGCATTTCTGCACGTTCTATTGGATACTCTTAGGATGATTAGGAGATACTGTCTCTTCTAGGAGCTAAGAAACAGGAAAAGCTCATAAATAGTTGATCCCACTTCTCCAGTAGTTGTTCTTGGCAATTGAAGATCTCGACGTGGATAAATTGTAGAAGATATAGCGAAAAAGAAATAGTTCATATGAAATAGGAATTGATCAAATAAAAGCGGTGAGTTGGATAGAGATGCAATGTTCACCTGATGAGTACTGGCTTTATCCATGGAGCTCCTGAGGGGCACACAATGCTTGTCAACAATGACTGTCCCAACGATTCCTACATATAAACAATCCACATAGGAACAGCGTGTTTTCAGTCGATTGATACTCATCAAATTTCTGCCCTTCCATCCTGAAATAAAAACTCCCGAGATTTGAGGGTCTACCTCGATGTGATGCTATTCGTTTAATAGTGTCCTCCACCTCGCTCTGCCATGACACGCCCGTCCAACGAACTTCCAACGAAATAAGAGACAAGTACAGAAAAGATTGGGCATATGACCGAGTGCAAACTCTAGGTGAGATAAACCAAATGCTGAATCTTTAATGCAAATTAAACAGGCGATTGTGGATGATGGGAAAGTACGCGGGAGAAACTGCGTTGTTTGTCTCGAGACATTTCAGAATCTCTCCGTTTCTCCAACACAGGCGGCTTCTTCAAAACAGGTTCACCATCAGCCGCACCCGCGACTGGAGCCTGAGACGAAGACTTTCCTTCCTTCGGTGAGTCAGCCATCCCGACTCTTCCTCTCACTCTTCTGAGTTCTAAGATTATTATATGCAAACTCCCTGAACTCGTAACCGTCTACACTTAGGGCAGTTACACTCCCACTTCTGGTGATCGTCAGAAATGACTGAGCCGAGCTTTAATCACTTATCCTCCTACTGAACATTCAGTGACACGATAACTTATTTTAGCTCTGCCCAGTTTGCATGCCTAAATGGGAGGCTCGAAATCGACTCGATTCAGCAAGACACCTCGGATACAAACCTCAAAACGTGAGTTATTTACCCTAGTTTTGTACAGCCCTGTTCGTTAAGGTTGTGACGACTTTAGGTACCTAAACACCAAGTAGTATGACGTTCATTACTGTGGACATCATACGATCTACATCTACGTTGGCTTGAGAGACGTACAGCTATATTCATCACAAAGAGAACCGTGAGTGCGAAGGACTCGACGTAACAAGAGGTTTGGAGAGTGGCAAGAAACCGATGCTTTGAGAAAAATTCTTGCATAAACTGATCATTTGAAAATAGCATCCATAGTGCACCGATTCCACGAACCTTAATCATTAAGACATTTAAAAACCAAGTTGCAATAGCAAATAAGAACATTTTCCACCTGATTCTTAAGCCACAGATGCAAATAAAAACTGGCAAGAACAAACTTGTAAGGTTCTACAAGATCTTCGAAAACGAAATCTCTATTACAAAAGTTCAGCTAGGAAACGCACTATATCAATAGACATCGATCTTGAATTGAACAATTGTCGCATCATACAAAAGACATTGCCCTCAAATTCAATAATTCTAACTAATTAGCTCCTGTACAACATGTTTTTTTTTTTTTTCTTTCTTTCTTTCTTTTTTTCTTTTAATTCCCAACCTGGTTTCTATCGGGGTAAGGAGACGAACTTCAACCAAAAGATGGATATGATACACCGATTGTAGCAACAACTTCTTACTTATCGTCTTGTACCCAAATTCTGATAGTTCTGTCTAGAGAGCCTGACGCAATCTTATTCTCCACAGGATGACAAGATACACTGAGGACTGCGTCTGAATGACCTTCAATTCTCTGAATAATATCCCGTGCTTGAAGGTCCCAGAGATAGACACAATTATCTTCGGAGCCACTTACAATGTACTTCCCATTTGTGACTGAGAATGTTGCAAATATGCAAAACTTCTTATTCTTGTGCCCTGTGTAGGTTTTCAAAAACTTGCCGGTATTATAATTCCATAATCTCTGCACATCCACGAACACGATTTAAAGCTTCACGTCATAGAGAAGAGTACGCCGTCAGAAGAGAGCTTACAAAGGAGGATCTTCAGAATACCACAGTTTGTACAAATGTGATCAGCCGTGATAGTTAACCTCACTATCGACATCGCACATGATGCCAACATCCTCCACTCTTAACTTACACCGTGACGATGACCCTACTCAATGAAGGACCAGATCCAGTTTATATGGAGCAGACATAACAAGCGCCAAAATTGCCAAAGGATTCACCAAACTAGACAGAATCAAGTGAATTCTGAAGAGCCCCGTACAGAAGAGTAAGAACGAATGAAACTGTACTGATACAACTTGTCACGTAAAGATTGACACATCACTTCAAAAGCGGAATAACATGGCATTTACAACTATGAAAATGAAAGGACGAGGGCATACCAGATTATCGTCAAGTGTTCCAGCCAGTATGAATTTCCCATTCGGTGAGAATTTCACAAACGACACAGGTGGATTTTCATCATCAATGAGAGTCTTCAAGCAATGCCCAGTAGCATTGTCCCAGATTCTGCACAAGCCATCGTAACTGCTAGACACGATCAAAGAGCCATCCCTATTAAAGTGGACAGCCGTTACGGGATCTGAGTGTGCAGGCAAAGTCTTCAAGCACTTTCCGGTTTTCACATCCCATAAGCGCACAGTCTCGTCAAATGACCCGGACACGATAACGTTGCTTTGAGGATTGAAGTTAACACAAAACACATAATTAGTATGACCCTTCAGGGTTTTCACACAATCTCCGGTCTGCACGTCCCAGATTTTTAGGGTTTTGTCGTCTGAGGCCGTGCATATGTACCGAGAATCAGAACTCCAAGCAAAATCAGATATGCCTTCACTGTGACCTTCAAGAGTACGTTCGCATTTTCCATCGGTTGAATTCCAAATACGGACGGTCTTGTCAGCTGAGGAACTCCCCACCCATTTCCCATCAGGGGAAAACTTAACACTAGATACGGATTTCCTGTGCCCTGTCAGCGTGAGTTTGTGCTTGTAAGGCACGTAATTCTTGATCTCGTCGCCCATATTTGAGGCTGGCCCTTCAGGCGTCATCTAATCCGTGCTGGGTCACTCCGCTAAAACACTTCTCCAAAAAAGTCCTCCTGCATATACCAGAACAGTTGCAACGAGGAAAATATAGGGGGACTGTGAACACAACGACTGCAAAACTGCAATAAAAACGGAATGGCAATAGCGTATAGAAGAAAGAAAAAGAAATCTATCCAAAAAAAACGCGTCGAAATCAAACCAGCGCCGCTTCCTTGCACATTACAAAGGTAACACACCAAGCTATCATAGACAAATCGATTTTTCGGAGACAAGGGGAGAACGTGACTCGAGTAAAACAGAAACCCGAAAACCCTCAAAACGCGAAGCAACGCTAATGAGAACCCGCCCTCAACGCAGCAGCGAACAACAGTCACACCCTAATGACAAACCTACTGATTCACTTTCACACAGCAACACTGGAAAAGTAACACACCACGACCCCTTCCCCTCTATCCCCTGAACTTCCATGATTGGCAGCAAGAATGTTGCAATTCAAAGACAGAAACGCAAGTGCTTGCCCTTAGCCGCTGGAAAAAACGCTCCTCCCCCACCCAATACAAAAAGGTTAAATAAAATCCTACGCCGTGAGTCACATTACGTCGACAATGTGCAAAACTGTAACCCACCAAGAATCAAGGGCACCACTCGACGAAGCTCAGAGAAATACCAGCCGCAGCACTTCGGTAACCGAACATCTCACAAGTGTATGAAACAATGCGCAGCAAACCCCTCTAGACAAAGACAAGAGACGGTCACAGTGAGGTCAGAATGCACTCTGGGGTCTCATTTGTGAGAGAGAGAGTGAGCGAGGAAAACAACAACAACAACACGAATACAGACTTCGAAATGGGGATCCTCACAACAGTTCCGCGGCTCCATCGAGGGCACTCGAACTCGCGAGGATCAACATGTTTTTTTCCCGGACTGAGGTGGTGGTGGTGTGCACAAATCCCCGCGCTCTTTCACTATTTACGCTGCCGCTGCGTCGTCGACACTTCCGAACCCGCATCGTCGACGATTCAGGGTGTGAGAAATTCGGAATTTGATTGTATAACGGTGGCGATGATCCCAAGAAATTCCTTTTTAGTTTGTGTGGAGTTGCTGCAGAATCGAGAGAGAGACTGTGGAAACGATGAGGGATATTTCATGCATTTGGAGGTCGTTTCTTCGATCCATCCCAAATTATTGATTTAGATTTGTCATTTAATAAAAATGAACAAGTCTTGTAATTTTGAATGATTTTGTTTTTGAAGATTGCCGCAAATTGTGCATTTACAGTGATTGCTATACTGATTGTTTCACTACTATGGATATAGTCAAAATAAATAAATAAATAAATAAATAGTTGGGTGATGTGGAAGATAAATATTTAAATATATAATCAAAATTTTAAATTAGATAATGCAAAAGATGAATATTTAAAATAAATTTGAAATTATTGTTCATCCATGTAAATAATTTGAATAGAATCAAAACTTTGGCTAGGATAAATTCATCACTAACCTATACATTGTGGGGATGATTTTTTTTTTATTATTAAAATAAAAAATTATTTAGTTTCAAGCAAGAGACACATTTTTTAAAAAAAATTAATTCATTTTCTTATTTAAGTTAAAATTATGAATGTAGCCTAATGACTAACTAAAGAGTTAAAATTGTACCCCAATGGTGCAAGGGTGGAACTGAGACTTGTCAAAATGCTAACACAAAAATGAATAAGAATCACTTTCAGTTTTAAAAAATTATGTTCTATAACTCAAAAACTTATAGTGAACAACTAATGTGGATACCATCTTACCAAAGGCTTGTAAACAACATCAAAATAGTTTTATCTTACTTTACATGCTTTAATGTTCTACTTACATTTGACATAATAGATTTATTCACATTGGACTTGTATGCAATAGACACTTAATAGAAGGAAAGAAAACACTCAAGATTAATTGATTGTGAATCACATGCAAGACAGTCAAAGTAGGAATAAAATCATAGTAACTCTTTAAATGAATATTTCATGCAGACAAGAACCGAAGTCTAAACTCTTAAAAACACCTCATTCATAATTGAAGATCCAATAGGAGGAATAGATGAAGATGTTATGGCGGGGTGGAAGACCCCACAGATTTGAATATGTTTATGATTTTGTTGAACTTGGCGCTTCAAAGTCTTGATTGGGAACAGCTTTTCAAATGGTGCAAGGTCTAGTCCAAACGCCGCCAATGATTCTGATGCAGCATTAAACATTCAAACCCTGCCGACGGATTGCAGCGCGGCTGTGAAGAATGGGTCGAAACTGATTGCAGCATTTCTCGCAGCGGGGTGGACGAGAGCTATTGCGGCGATCTCGGTGTCAGTGTTTTGTCACTAAAACTGTAGGGACCAGATTTGGGACCCGCCAGGCTTTGCAGCTCGAATGCTATGCACACAGTAGGAGGTATGCTGCACAGTGTTTGGTATGAAAAATAGCGAGTGCTCTCCTTTCGAGTCGTAACTCAATTTTGCGATGGAATGTCCGCCGCCTGCTGTATAACTTGCACCAAATTGTGATCAGACTTCAGCAAAGTGTTGTGCGGAGGAGGTCAACTAGGTTTGAGCTTATCCTGAAATAACTGCTCTATTGGAGCCCGTTTAGGGTTCCGACTCTCACCTTCGAAAACAACCGCATATGCAGAGTGAGGGCAACGGCCGTTGTGGTGTAGGTGCCCACCTGGTACTGGATGAACAGAATGGCTCCCAACACCAGAACTTTTTAATAAACCTTTAATCTCGTCTAATTGTCCAAAAATAATTTGTTTGTTTTGTTTTTTGAGACATTAAATCCTCACTTTTGAACTCCTAATACCAATATTTGAGGGTAGTAAAACAATTAGTTGCCTATCATTAAATTGTTTACTAAATGTGTTGCAACTATTTAACATTCATCATATTGTCACGGACACAAAATACAGACTTGAAATCTAACAAGAAGTTCAAGAAGAAGTGGCAGAACTAAATTAAACAGATGAGTACAAGAACAACACCAAAAAAGTGAGCTAGAACTCCAAGAGATGTGTTGTCGAGACTGAAGAACTCTTCAGCCTCGATCCCTATATATACTCCTACTTAGGAAGCTTCTCGAGCTACTTCTATTAACTAGGAAGCTTCTAGAAGGTTCCAGATGCTTCCTTTCTAGAAGGTTCTAGAAACTTCTCGAGCTACTTCTATTAACTAGGAAGCTTCTAGAAGGTTCCAGAGGCTTCCTTTCTAGAAGGTTCTAGAAACTTCTCGAGCTACTTCTATTAACTAGGAAGCTTCTAGAAAGTTCTAGGGGCTTCCTTTCTAGAAGCTTCTAGAAACTTCTCTTCTAGAAGGTTCCAGAGACTTCATTTCTAGAAGCTTCTAGAAACTTCTCTCTAAAAGGTTCCAGAGGCTTCTCTTCTAGAAGGTTTCAGAGGCTTGTTTTCTAGAAGGTTCTAGAAACTTCTCTCTAGAAAGTTCTAAGGAATATGTCCCTAACATCACCCCCTCCTTTAGCTTCGAGGTCTCTGAGAAGCAATGTTGTTGATCAGTACCAACGCAAGAAAATGAAGATCTGTCGCATAACTTCTGCTATGAACTCCAACTGTTGTTCACGAGGCAAGTGGTTCATCGACCCTTGAAGCCAACGGTAGTGGCCCACGCCTTTGACTTTTAACCAAGCATGAACTTCCGTGTCCTCATTGTGAAATTGTCCTGAAAACATGCCTTCTGGTTGACCTTCGTAAGCAGGCTCGATCTCAAATACGATCACCAGTGATCGGTTACTCGGTATCCTCCGTCGTCGTCGTGGTACATGTAGTTCTTCATCTTGGGGTCGCCTTCGTGAGCTACTCGGTTGCGATACTCTAACTGGCATAGTATCTATCTCTTGGCTATCCATATCAAAAGACCAAACTACGATCTATCTTGGAGAAAATAACTACATCAACTATGAATTTTGCTGGTGCTCTCCCCTTTTCTTATATTGTTGGGAGAACAAGCTTCAGAAAGAAGCTATCATCGAATTGATTTAGGTTTATCGGGATGTCGTTGATGAAACTCCTGTACCTTTTGTGGTACATTCGCAAGATTTTCAGCTGGCTCCCACGTTCGCTCATTAATGTCATAGCCGCACCAATGAACAAGATATTCTAACTTTCCCCACCTTCGTCGTGAATCCAATACCTTTTCAACCTCGTATTCTTCGTGGTTCTCGAATTCAATACTAGGTGGCGGACATTGCACTCTTCCAGAAAAAGATGACTCTCGATAAGGTTCCAACAGAGAAACATGGAAGATTGGATGTACCTTCATAGAGGCCGGTAATTCCAGCCGGTATGCCACTAGATTAATTTACTTCTGGATGATAAATGGTCCCAATCTTCGATAGTCCAACTTATCACATGGTCGCTTGGTCTTGATATTTCGTCGAAGAAGCCAGGCTTTGTCTCCAACTTTGAAAGTAGGTGCTGGATTCCGAAATCTATCTGCAGACGTCTTATAGGATTCTTGAGCGGATTGTAATTGAAGCTTCAACATAGTTTGAAGCTCTGATAGTTGCTTCGCAAATCTTTCAGCTGCTGGATTGTTATTTGTTGACGGACTCAATAAATCAAGCTTCGGATGATACCCATAGTTGGAAAAAAATGGTGTTTGTTGAGTCGACGCATGGAGGGTGTTGTTATATGTAAACTCGACTAGCGGTAGATATGCAGTCCAATCGTCTTGCTGATAGTTGATGCTGCATCGTAAGTACTGCTCTAAGACTTGGTTCACCCGTTCCGTTTGGCCATCAGTTTGAGGATGAAAAGCTAAAGAAAGCTTGATATCCACCTTCAATATCCCAAAGAGAGATCTCCAAAACTTTGACACGAACTGGGTACCTCGATTTGATATGATATCATGTGGTAGTCCATGATATCGATACACATTATTGAGAAAGAGTCTTGTTGTGACTTCACTGGACGATGTCTTCTTACAAGGAACAAAATGTGCCATCTTCGTAAGCCGATCTACCACGACAAAGATGTTGTCAAATGAGTTTGATGATGGCAAGTCCGTGATGAAGTCCATAGAAATTGAAGACCATAGTCGATGTGGAATTGGCAATGGTTGTAGAAGTTCATAAGGGCGATGCCGAGGATTCTTGGATCTTGAACACATATCACAGGAGAGGACAAAATCTTTCACATCCTTCCACATTTGGGGCCACTAAAAATCTTGGGAAATAAGCTGCAAGGTCTTGTTGAATCCAAAATGTCCCGCAGCTGGAAAATCATGGCAAGATTGAAGAACTCGGAGTTGTGCTGGTCCTTTTGGAATGTACAATCGCTCTTCGAAGTATAAAAGATCTCCCTCCACCTTGAACTTGTCGTCATTGGTACGTTGCTTGACATCAATGGCTATTGAATCTTTAATGGTCATAGCATGTACCTGGTTTAGGAAGTCAACATCAAATGATACAATAGTAGCACAAAGTTGAAATTTCTCTGGCTTCAATAACGTTGTACATTGTTGATCAAACGCTGCTTCTCCAGCCTTTGGTGCAAGATACGATCTCCTTGATAAAGCATTGGATAGTCCTTGCTGCCTTCCAGGTCGATAAGTGATAACAAAATCGAATTTAGATAGCGACATATTCTATCAAGCTTGACGCCGATTTAAAACTCGAGCCGACATGAAATACTCCAAATTCTTGTGATCCATATATATGGTTACTGGATGTGCAACTCTTTCAAGAAAGTGATGCCATTCTTCGAAAGAATCCACTATAGCAAGAAGTTCCTTATCGTGGATCTCATAATTGATTTCAGCAGCAGAGAACTTCCGAGAATAGAATGCAACTAGATGGAGCTTCTTGTCTTCACTCATTTCTGAAAGCGTAGCTCCTAAAGCAAAATCTGAAGCATCAGTTTCTAAATAGAAGGCCTTTGTAAAGTCTGGATGTACCAAAATTGGAGCTGTAGTAAATGCTGTCTTCAAGTCTTAAAACGCCTTCTCCGCCAAAGGTCCCCATTCCAACTTATCCTTGCATGTTAATCGAATGAGAGGAGCAACAACTTGAGAATAATTCTTGATGAAGATCTGATAGAAGTTAGCAAAACCAAGAAAGCATTGTACATCTCTAACCGTCTTTGGAATCTCCCAAGACATGATTGCTTCTACTTTCTTGGGGTCCATCTTCAAACCTTCTGTAGTCGCAATGAACTCCAAAAATTCCATCTCCGTCTAGTGAAATAAACACTTTTCTAATTTGGCATATAGTCCTCGCTTGCGTAGTTTCTCCAAGACCAAACGAACATGCTTCTCATGCTCTTCCTCGTTTGTAGAGAATATTAGAATATCGTCCAAGTAGATGACAAAAAAATCATCGAGGTGTTCTCGAAAGATGTCATTCATCATATGTTGAAAAACCGCAAGAGCATTGGTAAGACCAAAAGGCATGACATTATATTCGAAATGACCATACCTTGTACGGAATGCTGTCTTCCACTCATCTCTTTCCTTGATTCGTACGAGATTATAAGCTCCCCTTAGATCAATTTTTGTAAAGATCTTCGCACGTCCAAGTTGTTCTAAGAGACTAGAAATGAAAGGTAATGAGTAACGATTTTTCTTTGTTACCTTGTTGAGGCCTCGATAGTCCACACACATCCGTAATGATCCATCTTTCTTCTTCACAAATAAGATGGGTGCTCTAGCTGATGATTTTGAATGACCAATGAAGTTCTTGGCTAGATTCTCGTCGATGTACTTTCGTAACTCTGCCAACTCAGTTTGCGATAGATTGTAGATTGGGCCAAAAGGTGGTTGTGCTCCTTCTTGCAAGTCTATGGCACAATCATATGGTCGGTATTCCGGTAGTATGTCGGCGTTCTTCTTTTGAAACACGTCTTCAAAATCCTTATATTGCTCCGGTATACTTGCTGTTGAGATCTTCTCCTCGGTAATTGGAGCCGCATAAATGACAAATGGAGTGCCCTCCTTAGATGATCTTATAAACGCTCTTGCTCCAATGAATAAGGATTTCTTTTTTCGAGGTTTTTTACTAGATTTTTTCTTGGATGATTTTGTGGGAAAAGTCATCTTCCGCAACCTCCAATCTATCGATGGATTATGTTTTTTCAACCAAGAAAGACCAAGAATAATAGGATTTGATGGAGTTCTAATAATATTAAAAATAATATGACTACTATGGTCTTTAAACGTTACTTCTATAGGTTTTGATTCATAGGTGATGCTACCAAACAATAAAGGTTGTCCATCTATGACCTCAACGTGAACAGGTTTTGATTTTTGTACTAAAGAGATCTTATGACGCTTTGCAAATTCTTCGTCTAAAAAACAAGGAGATGCTCTTGAGTCTAGTAGTGCTAAGGTTCTCAATTTTTGAGGGTCGATAAACAGAGGGATTGTAAAACAAAGTGCAAGTTGGGCAGAAAGAAAGAAACGTGATTGTTGTTGAGATATTTCATTATTCAGCCGCACGGTTCCTACTGTGGCTGGGCATCCTCGTTTTCCTGAACGAATACTCTCCTAGTCTTGACTATGCCTCGATTTTGCTTTTTGGAGTAGTTTCCGACTTTGTGGCCTTCTCCACCACAATACAAGCATAAATTTTCCTCCATACGTTGCTTTTTTTCTTCTATAGTAAGAGATTTGAGACGTACCGTATCAATTTGCATGTCTTCCACCTCTGAATGCGAATTCACATTGCTTGCCAACATAATTGGAGCATGGCGAATTGTATGTTGTCTTGAGCGTTGATCTTGGCGATGTTGGAATAGGCGATTATCGCACTTCACAGCTTGGCTAATGGCTTCATTGAGCGTTCGTGGATCAGGAAGAGTTAACAGCAAATCCTTCAGATCATCTCTTAAATCCCAATAGAATTGACTCATCAACGCTTCTTCATCTCAATTGATGTCGCATACTAATTGCCTGAAATCCGAAGCATAGACTGATGTAGAACGTATCCCCTATCGTAATGACCGGATCTTTATTGTAGCCCATCGAACCTTATCGTGTTTACCAAATACTTGTGCAAAT